AAAAGCTCTGTTTGAATAAATTAGTGTCACGCCATCAAACAAAATGAATTTATTGCTTACCTCCATGGAGTCTTCCTTTTCAGTCTCATCAATGACGGTAACATTACTGGTAGCGGAGTTGGCCGGGGGTGATTCAGTGGATTTCATCATGCTCTCAAACATTGTCCAAGTCGTGTCTCGCAAATCTTCTTTTCCATCCATTCTATACATAATAAAACTACTTTCGATAGCTTCAGGCCGAAGCAGGTAACGTGGGTCTCGGGCATGTCGAAAGCCACGATTCAAAGACTGGTCACCTTCTCTCTGCCATTTCTCGTTGTCCCAATTGCATGGTTCCAGCGAGGGGCCTTCGATGAGAGCATATAGCTCTGGCATAACTCCATTAGGAAATAATTGATAGACCCAGCCACATCCACGGGCTATAGGGTCCCCAATGTCGATATGCTCATCAATGCCAAAGATCTTACCGCCAAGGGCAAACATTCCACCGATTAAGCAGGTGAGATGTTGCATTTCGGGAACGAGATGGATACCATCTTCATGAACAAAGGTGGTGCCGGCAAACAAGAAGTCATCCTTTCTGGGAGCATGGGTCTAAACAGCATGTGCTGAATCACAATAAAAATGTTCCTCATTTAGAATTGAATGTATGTCTGGAACATGCTTGAAAGCTGGAAATGCTCGCTACTTTAATTACTAAATACATGGACATGATTCTGTGGTCCTCCCACTGGTACTAGATAATTCTCCTATCTTATAGTGCCATCCCTCTGATGTTCTAATCCTGTCATGATAGCCATTGTAATCTTAATGAATGAATCTTGGAATTAAGAATTAAGTGTAAATAATAAGTACACGAAAAGTCATCGAATCGTGAAGCGGATAACAATGAAATTCAAGGCAATTCTTGGGGTTGGGTGGCGGGAACTGCTCTAGCATGCAATTCATGCCATGCGACGACAGGGACTGTTTTAGCATGCAATTCTTGCGGAATATAATGGGGAATCCGGATCTGATCCTGATGACTTTGTGAATATCCGGTTCGATGTTTCTCGGACACATTGGCAGCAATTGCAGCAGCAGCGGCAACCTTATTTCTCCTCCTTCGCAAAATACACCAAGCGGCGATTCCTGCGATAAATGCAATCACGGCGACAGATCCAACTGCCACACCTATAAGAATCCCTGTCGACAAAGTTCCGGATTTTTTATTATTTGTGGTCGAAGTGTTGGCCGGGGTGGAAGATGACGAAGTGCTACTCGAATTTCCCGATTCACCGTTGGCACTATTATTATTCGGTGTAGAAGGTGAATTGCAGAAATCGTTCATAGCATTATTCCTGACATCAACAGCCACAAGATCCTCATTTTCGGTAGGATTGGCTTGCCAGAGTGTGAATGTCATTGCATCTTGGTTGAGCATCAGGTAAGCGGCGGTGAGGAACTGACGCCCTAGATGCGGAAGATCGTTGGAATTCCCTGCTTGAATTGCATTGAGGACAAGTTCGGGTTGTGACGCGTTTGCAATCATGGCGCCTGAAGTGTGGTCGACTGTGAGGTTAGGAACCACAAGTTGATCATTAGGTATGCGGACGGATATTCCAGAATCTAGCTCGATAGTCAAATCGCCGGTATACCTAAGTACCCATTAGCATTTGCAAGAAGTCTCTTGTAGATCAAATACGCACGGTGTTGTATCTTGACCATAGAGCATGCCATAATAGTATGTCCCAAACGATCTATCGATTAAGTCTCCGTTGGTGAGCTGCTCGAAATTGATAAAATAAGGATTAGTGGGAAGTGTCAATAAAACTGGATAGCTTGGCTCAATGCATGCTTGAATAGCGTCGGATTCAATTCCACCGAACATACTAGCATCGGTTCCGTTTGGAAAATTAAGCACCAAGTTCGTGATTGTGACAAGCATTCCAGAGGAACACGCTGTCCTGGAGTAAGTGAGGGTGCGAGTATAATTTGCTCCAGTAACCTTTGCACGATCATAACCCCCAAAGATAAAACCGCCATCTAGTTGAGTTGCTGCCGTTGCGCCAGTTCGACCCCAAAACATGGACCACGTCCGAGATGCAATTTGTCCTGATGAGTAAAGGGTATTGAGGATCGTGGAGTTCGCACCAAGTCCCATGGCCATCTGTGGATAATAACCCTGTTCCGCCCAATCTGCTTTGGCAATTCCGATTGGGAATTCTAAAACACTCATGTTTGAACTCAGTGTTATGTTTTCCGATACCATATTCATTTGCGGATATGGAGAGGCGTCTGAGGGGTAGGAATTGGTGGCAGGGACTCCGCGGCTTTTGGATGCAAATTGATTATATGAACCACCACGAAATGTCGTACAAGCCGCGGTAGACCAGCTGGAACCACAGAACCCATCGGTTCCATAAATGAAGGAATTATTGAGTGGCCTAGATACAGTAAGCAATAGCTCGCAATTCAAGGAACTACAAGCTTACCATTGAGGTAGAAAGGCAAAGTGTTGTTCCGGGTTGCCAACGGATAAATCTAAACCTCGAGCTGTTTCTCCTGTCGACAGTGTCACGTTTCCAATGCGTATAGGAATGGGAGGAGCACTACATCCAGCTGATACAAGTCTGGCAAAAACGACAAGAAGCCAAACTCTGAACTTCAACTGCAATCGACCAGCGAAAACCATAGCGAGAGTAAACGGAACAGTATTCAGGATGAGGCAGAGGCAGCAAAGGACCGTGTCTTTGATGGAAAGAAGGGATCCCTACAATGTATTATGTTTGTCTCGAGCTCACTAGTGTTGTTGACGATTCGGATCTTTTATTTTGAACTAAGATAGCGCCAATGAATGAAAATATGCAAGTGCACCTAGGAACCAACATTTGGGCAAGTCCGCAAGATAATCCCAGCTCAAAATCGCGAGGTTTGAGTCCCATGGTGTCAGAGCCGGAAGGAGGGACGATGCAAATTAGCTGCTCCTGTATGGCAAATTACAGAACATAGAGAGGATCCCGCCACTTGCAGGATCTTGTTTAGCTGTCGCTGCCTTGAACCAGAGCAAGTGTTAAATCTATTGGATGAAGTTGACCTAAAGTTTGTCCCATATTATCATCCAGCGCTCGCCCACAGCGTCGGTACCCATTACCGTAGTTAACGACGAATCGCAAGGCACATTTCAAGCTTGTCATATCCAAACATGTGGCTGACAAATTCCAGAAGCGAATGCGAAATCATGCGGGCGTTAAGATATACAGATGTTCTTAAGATTGAAAGTGAGGATTGTCTTTTCACTACTGAATTAAGAAATAATGTGGACCTGACATTAAAAAGGTACCAGGTACTTAGGTACAAGGCAGGTTACACAGCACCCCAGCAATCGCCTATCATTGACAGTGAGCTATATAGGGAGGGTATAAGTGCCCTCCAAGGCTGTTGAAACGGTGATAATGCAACTAGCCATCAGACAAACTTCCATTTTATTAATATCTCTATAGAGGCTCGAGCCGCAACCTGAGTGGTACATTTTCGTAAAATTTATATTAATTAATTATGCATGTGATACGACAATCAGCCTAAAGCGGTTATTTTACTGACCCGACAGTTTGGTAAATGAGTATTTCGCTTAATACATGAAATTGATTGGTTTATCAAGGTCTGCACCCTCAAGGACCCCCTGAAAGCTTCAGCAACTCACAGGAGTGACTGATTATTCACCCATTCTTGAACAAACATAAATTTCAAAATATCAAATGTCCTCTTTATGTGCAGGGTTCAAACTTCGATTAAACGCGAGTTATGATGCGCTTACTTATGTTACTGTTAATAAGCTACTGAACGCAATAGCTTATCATAGCTACTATCGCGCGCGGTAAAAAAGATAACGGAACGTTTCGTATTTACCCCTCAATGCATAATAACAATGGCTATTACTTCTGGGGCGAACAGGGGACAGGATGGGGAGGCGGAGCCCGTGTAATAGGCTGGTATGACTGTGGGGCTCAGCAGAATAGATCGACCGGAAGTGCAGAAATTAGCTGAAAAACGAGGGTGAATGCATTTCCAGGCGCTTAGCGCTCCGTTTACGAGGCAATGCTTATCCCCCAAATATTTCGTACTCTGGCAGGTCGACTTATACATTATGATTCTCAAAGCCATTCTTGATTCCTACACGAAGCAGAAATAAAGAAGATGATTTCTCTTCCCTTTCAAATGCATAGGTCAATGATCTTTCTTCCTGCAACGTTGTTTCTTTTCTGTGCTACCATTTCCTTATACCATTCGCCGAGAGAGGCACAGATCCGGGACTATCTTCCACATTGGCCATCTCACAATGAAGACGTACAAGTCGACCTTCCAAAGTGGACAATAGATGTGCCTTCGGACTACGATATTCAGCCCTATCACACTTCCATTTGTGCCGAACGATACGGTCGCACATATCTCGAAAGTTTGCGTGACACCGCAACCGAATACTGCATGCCTGGTTCCTCCACAAATTTGACATGCTTCCATACAGCCAAATGGCCTGGTTCGGGTAGAGATACCATGTGTCTTGGACAATCGGCAATATATGATGCTTCCGAGAAGAAATTCAAGCTCGGGTGTGATATTCGGCCATTAGATGGAGAGGCAAAGACTAAAGACTACCCCGAGTTCAATAACTTTCGATCTCACTGGTACGGTACCGGCACAAAAGTTATCTTCGACGGGTATGTTTCGAAAGATAGGCATCTACGTCAATATCCTACAACGTACAACTACACCATCCTCATCAAACGCGAAGGTGCCTTGAACCCATGGCATTGTCTCTTGGAGATCTGGTCGACAATGATGACCATGGACGTCCTGCGAATGGCTGTGAATCCTGCCACCAACGCTCCTTTTTACATCACCGAAGATGTTCAGAACACTCAGGTAGTCATCCTAGACGATCATGTCGACGGCTTGTATCTAGATCTCTGGACCGCGGTTGCCGAAAGGCCGATCATTAGACTAAAGGAGCTTTCCGAAACAACAGAATTCGAGAATATTATAGTACCACTACCTGGTGCCAGTAATCCTATTTGGCAAGGAGACTGGGAAATTCACGATTGCGGGCAGTCGGAATTGTTGCGTACGTTTTCCGATCGAGTTCTCAACTTCTACAATGTAGAACCTTGGAAACCTCATGATGGTGATATTATCATAACCTACATCGATCGACGGAATGCACGACAACTGATAGGCCAAGAGTCCTATCTCGAAGAACTCGCGTCTCAATATCCCCACGTTAAAATACAAATGATCGACTTCGAATCCATACCTTTTTCTGAACAAGTCAGAATTGTCCGCGAAACTGACATTCTAGTCGGAGTTCACGGAGCCGGCCTAACTCATGGCATGTTTCTGCCCGAAGGATCAGTAATGGTCGAGATACTGCCGGAGGGACTAAATCATAAGGGCTTTCGAAATCTTGCTGGCCTTCGATCACATACATATCTTAGCGTGCACGGCTCGAAACTATTAACACCGTCGCGCGGACAGAGGCGTGCTGAGTGGCATGCAAAAGATGTCTCGCTGGACCGAGAGCGCTTTTTGGACCTGATGGGGGTTGCTATAAGGACCGTGTATAACAAAGGGTTGCGAAGTTATGATGTAAATTAATGATGGATTTTATTTCATGTTGCGACAGACATGAATGCTGCTATCATGGTTGAGGCGTTTTGGGGTTGATCTTCGGGGCTACACTCAATTTGTAAAGAGAGAAACATATCTCGTCTGTATATAGAGTTTTATAGTTTGTTCTCATATTACAGATTGAGATAAGTATTCATCCAAAGAATCTACACAGCCATGTCTAGTAGGCCTATGAAGGTCGCTACCTAACTTTGTGCCCACCAATGATAATCATAATGAATGATATGTAGTCATTACTAGCCTTTGTCTAACCAGCTTAAGGCGATCAATCATCTCTTCTGTGTTACTAAAATTTATCATGGTACACACTTTAATCATTGCTACGATTGTGTTCACTCAAATTCATCTCAAGGGGATTGATTCCGGACTACAAAGACGGCACTACTCAACCCACCAAGTCGAGCCGGAACAAGCCCAGACGCCAACCATGTCTTCTTCGGAGAGACCGCGCAATGTTGATTAGAGAACTAAGATGTATAGCATCGCAAGAAAAACAAGAACACTGGCAACACAATGAATGACTTGTGTATATTTGATGATGCATAGTGTGAGTTAGGATTGGAATAACGGATCTGTAACTTTACTTGTGAATTCCGCCACACCGAAAAGCTGGTGAATCAAACGGGCTCAAAATTGAAGCCAGCTCCATGATACTGGCGAGCTAGCGGATGCAAATAATTGATTTCAAAACATATATTGGTCAAGAACAACACTACAAATACCCAGTCTTAGCTCGCAAAATAACATAAAAGCTTATATCTCAGAAGTTGCATGCATAAGTTCAATTGTCTAGCGCCCCCACCGCTATATCTTTGCAAAATCGAAGCTTTGCCACGTCTCATCGTCATCTTCCTCTGCCTCTTTTTCTTCCAGACGATACGTAGTGGCCCCAAGCACAATCAGAAGATTGAAGCCGAATACCAAGTAGATATATACAGGCTGACCGAGGCGAAAAGCGGCTACGGTGACAGTGGCATCGGCGGTTTTGGTATCGTTGGCGATCATTAATTGTGCGCTCGCGTATGTGACGAGAAGATCATCTATCATTGCGGTTATGGAGTTCTGAATACCTGCAAGATTGATATCTTGCTCACGTAGTGGGTTGCCGGTATGTTGTGCGCTGCTACGATAATCGGCGATGCTAAAATTAAGCGCATTGCCTATGACGCTCTGGGAAACATCAGTATCTTGGTCTAAGAGCGTTGAAGAGGGGTAGATAATCATACCTGATAGATGTTCGACATGTCATTCGAAGAAAGCTCAAATTGTCTTTCAAGCACATGTGTCAGAGTCCCTGAGGGCTCAATGTCGACTGCATATGCATTTGTTGGTGTAACAGTAATGGTTTTACTTGCAAGCACAACAGAAATGTCGAAGAGTGTCGGGTTGTACACAGTTCTGCATTGAGCCATGTTGAGATTTCCATAGTCACTTCCTGCTGCGATTCCAAGATATCTTGGGTTGTAACCCGTATTGTCGGCAGCAACTCCAAAGGCAACGATTGAATTCGATGTATGTCCTAGGTAAACGGAAAATTCTCCAGATGTGCTGTCAGGTAGGGAGCCTCGAGCAGCAAATAATTGTACCCCATCGTTGACCAGTCTGAAATCAGCACTTTGATTGTATATACAAATGGTGTCAGCTGTATAACCAACTTCTTTGAACGTATAGCCAGTGACAATGGAATTATCCAAAATATGGTCATCTGCAAGGCCTATCGATGCACCAACACCGAATGAGCGCCCAATATATTGAAACTTTGAATTGTCATACTTGGCATGTTGACGCGGTGAGCCGTCCATAGTCGTTGCTGTAGATAGGGATTGTGAAAGAAGTCCTTGGTATGCCATGGCAGGAGAGTAAGTGAAGAGTCCCCTATCATTTCGTAGAGTGGGCCCCGATGAATGAATTTCTGACGGCCACTCGCGTACCGAGGTCATGTTCGCGTACTGGGGAAGCAGAACCATTGAAGGTCGAAAAAAATGGGTGTCGACCGGTGTAACTGCACCTGCCCATAACGGGCAGGGGACTGCACATGCAAAAGCAAAGAGCAATATAAAAAGGGAGCGAACAAAGCACAACTCCCAACTCATTGAAGTCAAATTGAAATTATTCCAGACGTCCAACAAATCACTGGGGATTGACCGATTGATCAGACGTCTTCGAGTGGCATAGTTGCAAAGCCGCCAGATTGCTGCTACTTGAATCAGGCCGAGTGCGCCTGCGAGGATATGGACTCCCATTTGGAATGAAGCTCGATTCCGAATGATTGACTCGTAAAAGACACCGCCGGAGATAAACACATGACGTTGGTCTGCAGCTAAAAGGAGACTACTGACAACCGTGGGGAAAATCACGCCTAGGAAGGGAAAATATCGATTGCTTAATATAGCAAAACGGTTTCGTGATGGCGTTTGAAATTCCTGGTCTGATAGTAATTTCTCGGTGCTTTTGATGTCGAAATCAGAAGATCCCGCCTGCGGGGACGACTCCATGTCATATAGCGATAACATAATTTGTGAGAAATAGAGACGAACGAAGAAGTGCAAAGGACAGTCAATATAAACATACAAACAAGTGAGCGACAGCAAATTTATGTTGTGAGATAAGTTGACACTGAGAGCTGAATTGTAAGCCAGCACTGTGAACCTTGTGTAGGCACAGTGCGTCAAATGCAGGAATTCGCGCGCGTGTAATTTGAGAGCAAAGTATAGCTATTTGTTCCATCAACTTCACAGCAAAATCGTGCATTGCGAGCCCGACAGAATGGTTCAAGGCCATTTTTAGAGAAATTATTGGGTAGGGCGCAAGGAGGATAGTTTCATGCGGTAGCATCGAGAACCACATTCAGATGGCTTAGCCGCTTATATCTACCGCGATAAGAAAGTGACACCTCACTAGAGGCGACCGATTGGGTTACTTCGACAACCGCAATGAGAGAGCATAGCCGCCCATCACAATGGCCTCTTGGAAGGCGATCGCATTGCAGAGGGATATCATATGTGGATCTAACCTTGCCAAGACTAACACTGGTTCTGGATGCTTGAAGCTGCAGGAATAGCTGCGTCGGTATTGGATGTTGAGATGCAAAGTGTCTCAGTTTAACAACATTTGTAAAAATAAAAATAAATTATTCTCAGGCATCTTCGCTTATTAAGCCCGGCATACATTAGCGTGATAGGAGCTGACCGCCTTAGGTAGCCCCACCCCCGGCAGAATCGCGACTTCACAACCACGACCACACTCTGCGTCCCTTCATTGAAGTTATAAAAATATCGTTTGAATACGACGACAATTCTCGGCACTGTGACGCCAATATAGTGGTCAAACTCAACATCCAGTCTGTGCTGCAGATCGCAGACGCATGCACACAGCCTCAACCTCTCACAATCATTACAGTACGCCGTAATTTTTCCGAAACCAGACCTCGGGCAAACAATGAGTCTGAGAAGACAGAGGAACTGAAGAACAAAAGGGTATATCGTTTTTTTGGCTTCCGTAGTCGAGGTGCTTCAGGTGGGATGTTTTTCATATATGTGGCAGGAAATCCAAATCCAAAAGCCTATAGCCATCCTTAATTTACATCTTTCGCAATTATCTCTCGTGACACCATGCCATCATCCAGTGTGGTATCAACTAGATGATCTGATAAGCCCGGGTGGTCATCATGGATATCTTGGTGTCTTTTACCTCTAAAACGCGTTTGTGAGAAGCGTCGAGATCACGTATCTGGTCTGTAAAGTTCAGACAGCCATTTCTTTGAATTGCACGATCATGCACGTCGTTACCACCCGACACCCATACTGATGCGGTAGATCTATGATTTTTGATTCGACGAGAACCTTGAAGGGTAATTTCGGGTTGCTTGTTTGGGCTCCAGGAAGGTAGTAAGGTTGAGCTGCGCGCTCCTCGGTTCGAATTTGCGATGCCAACAAAGGTGGGCCGGGGTCTTATCTTGGCTACAATAATTGCTCCTACGATACAGAACGTTCGGGCCTTACTTGAACCCTAAGGACCTCAAATACATATGACTTTGACTTTGGTCAACAGACGGTGGGAAGATTGTGTGGGCGGCAAAAAGGTCATTTCGAACGACAAACCAAGTAGAAAGGAATCTGGGAAAAGCTTCGGCGGGAATGCCTTGGAAGATTACAAGTAGATCATTTATGGGACGGGTGAATACATTTATTAAAGATGGTAATATAATTACTCAAGTTATGAATCGAATACCGTTGTAAACCTCGAAAAGAGAAGGGTCAAATCGTGTCGGGACCTGAAGGTTTTATAAATCATCTCACTGAACCAAAAAGGTGGTGAAAAACGGATGGCCAGCAAGGCCCGAGAAACCTGTGGGGTGTTATTGGTAGGATGGGTCTTTAAGACTAGATGTTTTTCAAGCTCTTATCTCAAAGGATGGGGTCAAATGTTAAAGATGGGACATGTAAGGGGTGATAGGAGTCTGGCCTGATGTGTAACACGTTTTAAAGGTTACGTCATATGAAAGAATACATAGACTCTTCTTGTGCGGAATCCTCTAGCTGAGACTGGAGCTTCGAGACATTAGATATTGGGCTTTGAGGGGGAGTGCCCCGCATACTTCAACACACCTCAGACTCTGCCTCATAAGAACTTAAAAGAGCCCACAAATCTTCTTGTGCATAATATAACGTCGCTAAATATTCCAGATTTCCATTAGAATCTTGTGTTTTTAAAGTACTATTTTGTTCTGATATAGATCTACCGGAGACTGACCAGTGCGGTCGATGGCTGGTGAGCTAAAAATTTTCAGGCTTTCTATCATTAATCCGTTTTTAATGGATAGCGAATTAGATCCCCATCACCATACCATACCGTTGAGAGCTCTACGAAATCACTATCAAAACCTGTCGGTACCCATATGCACCCATCAAGTGAAGTTGAGGCTTAAGACAGAGGCTTCAATTACAATTGATTTTGAGAATTTGAGGTTGAAAAATCAAAATTACGACTAAGGCTTAGAATTTGAGGCTGAATGGGGATCTCTATCTAATCGATATCCAACCCACTAACCCATGGAAATACAAACGTGATACCCAAATCCCAAAACCCCATCACCAACCTTTTGTAGCTAAGCGAAAAAGAAACCTTAACGATTCCAGAGAGTGTGTGGGAAATCAAACTCGAATCCATTTAGAAGACTTGGCAAGTCACGTGCCAGCGCGTTTGCCCTGATCGCCAACCCTCAGACTCGGGTCCTACACCAAAATCTTTTCAGATTATGATCTCAAGCATGAAATCAAAACTTTAAATAGCACTTAACAATTATAATTCCCCAACTAAACTAAATAACTTTTCACAATCAATTAGCATCCACAACATGCACCCAACCTTCCCTCCAAACTCGCGTCACGTCCTTCGACAAGATGGAAACGAAGTCTTTGCGTGTAAAATTGAGAACGCCGACTTCTAAAATGAGTTCATCCGACTTCGATGAGCCTTCCAAAAACCTCCTAGAGCCAGTGGAAAAACAGTTTCGCAATTGCCGCAGGATACACGTCTTAGTCTCTGATTTTGCATTTGCGGCACCACAAATCCATGCAATCCCAAGCGAGGAGAACTTATAAGCTCATTAGCAGATGGCGACTGGATGCTATCAAGAAGACCTGTAAGGAAGCTCGAGTAGAGGGAATGATATTGAAGCTCCCATAATTACATGTTTGAAAATGACATTGTTTGGCTGAAATATATGCGTTGGCACGAGCTCACGGATATTCGCTTTGCTTTACGGAATACGGGGTAATTATACCCAAATGGGCATTTCAACTGGTGGACGCTTTGGCCGTCTCACCTGTAGATCCATGAGATAGGCACTTTGGCCTTGAAAAATCCGGAAGGATTACCTCCCCAAGATGCTCGGTGTTGGGATGGAAATGTTTCTTGATTCATTGAAGTTATGTCCTGCAGTCCAACTGGCCAAAAGTTGCTATATTCTGTCGTCAATAAAGACGATTTCAAATGTAGTCCTTCCATGCATGGTATGGGAATCTTGGGAAGAGCATATCTAGTTCTAATCGGGATATCATTCTGTCAAGACTACGATAGTTTCCGCGTAAAGCTCTTGGCAGCTAGTTCGCGACAAAACTTGGGAAGCTATGGCGATAATAGAAGCCAGGGCGAAGTAAAGAAGACTTCAAGGAAGAGGAGAGAAGATCGTCGACGTTGCAAAGTAAGCTTTCCGCACCCGGCGACCTTTGTCTTGACTGATCAAATTCAATAGTGAATGGACCATTTCATCTGGTTTCGACATGGATTATAATCCGGCCATTGTAAGTTTAATTGGTTCTTTCATTTCATTCTCAGATGGCCAACTCTATTTAAACATTTAATCTTTTGCATTCCTTCTCTTTAGTTTCCTGCACAATTTGGCTCTACACTTTCCTCCGCAAGCCTTTTCCAATCTTCAACTCCGTTTTGGATGTCTCATTATCTTTGATGGGCGACCAACGATTCTCCGGTGTTATCGCAGTTGTCCTTGCAAACACCTAATGTTGAACACATGTAACTTACTGCAAGCGGAGACTGGATACAGATACAACCCATAGTAACTCCGAATTCCCGATATCATCAACGTCGTGTCACATTTCTAAGTTACATTTCTTCCAATTATGGACGGATTTGTCATGTTTGGTAGCACATTGTGATTTCTATCGCGCCTTTCATAACGTCACGCCAAATTTGACGATCAATCACTCTTGCCACGCTTATCACCTGCAACAAGAAACCGGAACGCCCGCAATATCACGCCGGTTATAATTGACGAGCGACTCCAGCCCAACTATCTTTAGAAATCATCTAGTCCATCAAACTTATCTATCGCCCACTGGTAGCTCCCCGCCCATCCCTCGCCTAGGTAATCTCTGAAACTACCTTCCTCAATCCTCACAGAGTTCGGATTCTGTTCTTTACCATCGCACTAACTCAAGACCCCCATATATGTCTGTTCGACCACGAATGTTAAATGTTCGTCAAGTGCGATGCCCTACTTCTTTTCCCCCTTCGAATCGCCATTTGCCGTTTGTCTCCCACCAGTTTGACCCGCTGACAGTTGTATAAACTGAAAATCTTTGCCATCTTGCTCGGCCTTCTGTCTCAAAGCTTCTATATTCAGACCATCCGGAATGATGTCGCCATGTATCGTGATGCTGAACTTGTATCGCTCTTTACAATTTGGTTCATGAGTCGACCAATTAGCCTTCTGACAGTCGCGGGAACAGTACGGAGTTTTGCATCTTTCACAACTGGGGAAGCTTCCCATCGTTGTTTCTGCTTTGCGACAGTTGGTACAAGCACGGATCGACTTAGGTGTCGGCGGATCTGACGTGGAGGATCTCGAAGACATAGTGATGTTTCGGCAAGCGCGAACTTCGAGGACTTGGCGATGTGAATGAAATGTTTGTACCGGCGCCGCCAATATGCTAGAAGTCTCGCAATTTATTCACACGAGTGTTGAAAAGTCTGAAAACCCACTTTTTGAGCAAAGTTGCAAGTGGGAATATTGTGGAGTTGGCAGAGATGCGAAGTGCAAGGTGACCAAGAATTAGTTTTCCAGCTGTCGTGGAGAAGGGGGTTTATCTACATTTGTATGACAAAGTTGCCTCTATGAATATCCCGTTATACGAAATAGATGCATATGGGATCATGCCTTGACTCCGGATGGGGCACGAGACAAAAGGTAAATAAAGTTCACCACAGACCGCTCAGTAGATTCGAGACCTCGTACAATTTTGTATTTATGGATATCACTTTATCCTTCATTTATACAACCAACATTTTCGCAAGGCTTTCTATGAATGTTTCAAGCCATTTAGGTGTAGCAACATCGTATGATCAGGCATTTGAAATTTATTTGGTTGTCGAATGCATGTGTTCCTCAACGAACCTGGTAAAAATGGCGATGATTGGTAATTGAAAGCTTTACGCTTTACCCCACCCTTGTATAACCGGAAACAGAACAATTAGAAGATTACTCTTTGGAGAAATTTACCAAATTTTGCAGTTGATGAATCTCAATCTTTAGTCTTTCTACTACTCTCAGTCCGGAGTTGATCTACAATTCCTTTCTAGATGATTGGTGCACAACATTGCTTATACTCCGGAGCCTAATTAGGTCAAGAAGGAGCTTCGGAGTAGGGGTATTGACCGTAGTGGGGTGCATTAGTTTATTAATGTGATCCATCAATCTGGCTCATTAAGCCGATTAGATTATGTGTCACCATACCAATTGGGTGCAGATAAATCAAAGTTTATGCAGGTTTCACCGCACCATCATATTTCCATAAATATCCTTAGTATCCCCAGATGCAAGAAAAAGGTACTTGCCATGTATGTGGAATGTAGGTATACAATGTGTTGAGATCCTAACCTGGAAATCATTAATATTCTACCTCCACAATTGGAAAACCAAGACCGATTCCTTCATGACAATGAAACTCTTTGCATGCATGGCAGCTAAAGCGAAGGTCAAAAGTCATTCCTCCTAACTCCATCAAGTTTTAAAATACATATCTTTCAATGACACTTATTGCATCTCTACTGTTGAATTAGCCTTTGGATATCCCAACATGTGGAGCATGGGTTTACTGTTTGAGCTTGTGGCAAAATGACATTACGATCGTACATTTGTACCTTGCATTAGAAAGGGCTTAGGTAGCATTTTAAGGGATTTTTTTTGGTGAGATACACAGGCACAGGAATCTCAATTACCTTTTCATCGAGCTACTGTTCATCAACCCTTATCTGACACTGTATTCACAAATTCTGTCACTTTTCCTGTGAATCTTGAAATCGGGTTCGAGTGGAAGATATGAAATCAAAGTCACAGGTGAATACAGAGTGGGATTCAGAGGATTCGAGTATCGCAATGTGTACAGGGTAGTCCTAAATATCCAAGTGATATGAGATCAGTGTGATCATCTACGCATGGTGCCACGTCTCGGAGTGACATCAATGCTACCTAGGATCGTGCAACGGGGTTGCAAAACAACTCCTTGGTACCACGCAACAGATATCATCATCGTTATTTGCCACATATATCTACCTGTATCGAGCCCGATTCCTAAAATTTCGGCGAAAACCGGAGATCTTTGACGGGAGTTGATCGCGTGGAAATTAAAATCCAAACCCGAACTCCTAGGGAATGACCGAAAGATTTGCCACGCCGGACTTTTCGTTTTCACCGTACCCGTCCGGTAAGACCATGCAACTCAGGATTAGAGGTTCCCCCACGAGGATTATAAGGCGATTTTTTGTCTACATGTAGCAGGATCATTGGTGGAACTTGTCCTCTTTCGCGGTGCTGTGATGCGGCGACCGTGGAACACTTTCAAGAAATCTCAACACGGTTATCCTCCGCCGTGTGCCGTTGTTTTTGACGACACAAACGCAGAACCTGAACTATTCGACCAACGAGCTATCGCTCTGTCAAGACTATTGCCTCTATGCCCGATGCTCTGTAATTTGAGTGTTTTATTTCGCCAATCAAACTCTTTGATCGAGTATCGGCACGCATGGATCTGTAAGTTTTTATGGCGCCTTGCATTATGGTGAATCACAACCAATGCCATCCAGATCACTGATGCCTTACATACATACCATCTCTTACTCATGCAGTCGATGTTATTATGTCCTAGATTCAAGTGTCTGCTGTACTCGGCCATCTGACCTACTACCACCTACCTGGATGATATTATTTCGGTGCTCGAGTGGCCCAAAAATTCATACAAATTTGCTATGCCAAGGAGCAATTTTTTCACTTGCGCCATATATTCTACCATGCATGGCAAGTGCTTTGCTTACATTCTACACGAGTAAGCCTATGATATCGCAGATCGTTGAAAATCAACGCAAAAACAGCTCCCAAGGCACGGAGACTGCCAGGGCAGGGCTTTTTCCGCAAGTCGACAGCAAATGATGCATCGCAGAGAAAAGGGCGGCTATGCAATGATGAACAGCTAGAGTGCAAAAGAACAGATAGATTGCTGCGACTCGACTTGATCATGAGCAGGATTTGGATTCCAGTTGCCAATATCTACGTTTTGTTGGCCAACCCCTTACCTTGGTAATAACTGCTATTATCAGCAAAAGTCACTCCACCACGCCATTATGACATAAGACGGAGTTGCGATGAAGATACTGTGCCGCTGGTATGCTTTCTCAACACGTTTTTATTCCGGAGATCGACTATTGACCTGCAATATTATATTTGATTTTTCTGCCATGCGAATTGCCATTGCAGATTCTCCGTCAGCAAAGAAAGTGGCCACGAATCCTTATCTCCCACCTAAGATCCTATAAAACTTTCGCAGGCCAATAAGTTCACCGCGTTTCTTCTCCTCTGCATTTGCGCATCTCCAAACTTGAACGACGGAATTCGTGGCCGGGGATCCCCATTTGCGAACTCTCTTTGTCGCTTCCAAGCACGTGGGAACTGGAGCACTCCAATGATTCCTTAATTGTCGATGAATAGATTGATAATCTCCGGCTCTGGATCATATTCTCAAACAACTCCTTTTGGAAGGATTCTGAGCATCCTAGTAAGCTCAAGCACACGCAATTGCTACAAGTGTTCCCAACTTTTTATCAACATGCAAACTCGTTTCAATTTCAGCATTCAGAGCCGGCTGAACAATTCTTTCTTGACCCGAACTATCAATTGTATCGCTGGACTCAGGCGCGGGTAGTTAGGAATCACATGATCTATTACGAGTCCCCTGGCAGAAGGAATACGCTTCACTGGGAAAACTTTTTTTCGGAAAGTTATAGGAAAACAGACTTCTATCGAACCCTTATCCTCGTTGGCTTTTGTGCAAGGTCGTACTGATGGAAAGCTGCCTTGAACCTTTGAAGGTATTCACTACCCATTGATATAAAATATCAACAACTATATTGACAGCCAAACCTCCAGCCACGGAGAGCATCAATGAGTTTTTGGTTTGCGGCTTTTGGGGTGTTGCATAAACGGATTTGACTAATACTGAGAAGTCCTGTAATGTCTCCCTACGAAAATCTGCCGAAATTATGGGATGTACTCCCGCGATGGATTCGATCCAGCCCTGGTATTCCCTAGTATCACCATCCCCTGTTCCACGACGCGGCCTTTTCTTGGTATTGCATACCGACTCCGATCACTGACAGCAAAACATCATCACCATCTTATCTACTGAAGATGCCTTCAGTAAGCAAAACGAGGTTTTGATACTCGCGAGAAGTTGCGACTTTAGCGGTAATTTCACCAATTGTGAAATTCCCTCGGCGTCGAGGCATAATTCACGAAGGAAGAGAGCTTTGATATAGATCAATTTCAAACACTTGCCGATTTGCCTCCATACATTCCGATAGGTAAGACTTCGGTGTACCCGTATACCCGCGATCTTCCCGATGAAGCAATAATGATTATATATCATCTCAAATCGCACGATCAAGATAGCGAATCACATGACGTTTTTTTCGATTGAGTGCAGGCAAATTGTTTAAATCGGACTCTCACTCAAAACCTGTCCTTTCTGGGGAGATATCATTTGTTTTGATATCATTCGGTTACCTCCAAAGATACATCAGATGGCCAGATAGGTACGAGCACCCATCACTGACAATATTATGGAGTGAAAAACTCTTCCTACACTTCATACATACTTACATATTGAGTTTAGGACTATTCGTACATCAAACGAACCGACGGACTTGGACTGACGAATCTATCGTACTGGGTATCAAATAGTATACAATGTATGCCAGTGGGGGTGTGGAGAACTAGATAGTGGCATTTGAAAGATGTGTTCACTGTGAAGTTGATTCGAAGAGGAAGAGTGGTTGTTAGCGATGGTGTATTTTTATTCTCAGCATTGCTTCAACGGAAGTGTAGCGATTGTGCCACGATTTTGTACATAAAATTGAACAAAAATATGAATCATGAATTTAAACTAAACGACACATGTCTCACCAAAGAAAATGATGCTACGAGCTCAAAGTTTTGTGCACTCCAATTTATGCTTCATATTATGCTTATTTTGACATTACGCTCATTTTCACCTCGATTTTCCTCAACTCGTAGTTCTAAAAAGGATGTAAAATGAATATGTTCAATTCCAGCCGAGCATCCGAGTATTCTATAATTATAAATCACTTTATCACATAAGATTCAACGATTTACTAATTGAACCTTTCTTATATGGTTCGCCTTTCGGATCCTGTTATATAGGAATATCGGAGTGACCATTGCGAGGTCTTTTCAAATAGTTGGTTACAGCAGAGGTTCCCAACACCCAGAAAATACTCAGCTCTCGGTAAGAACTAGATGAGGTGGGCGCTGATTCAAGAGTTTGTAATTTAGATATAGTACAAAGTTACAAAAGCTTTTGAGGAGGTAGTGAAAGGACAAAAGAACGTTCTCCGGCTTCATTTTTAATTAACTATGGCTCAATCTTGCCGGTAAGACATTGGTAGATATTCCCAACAAACATCAAAAGTCTTGCTCGACAATGTGCGCCCTAGAGAATGTACCTCGTAATCTACACTGCTAATACGGTTCTGATATAAGGAGCAAGACTCAAAGGTTAAATGGAACCTACTTGTCCAGCTACTGTCATCCGATCTCACGATAATTTATGATACTTGCCAGCTTCCACATCTATTGTCATGGTAATATCTGCCTCGTACTACGAGCTTATAAAATGCAGTTACTCACTCGACTGTGACTATGACTGTGACTGCGGAGAAGCCAACCATCTAATGTCAAGATTCAACACCCAACCTGGGGGAAATCATGTCACTAGCACAATTGTGCGAAAGTCTGGACTGTAGGCAGAACTCGGTGTCTTTGATACCATTCCGAATGCAGGTAATGGGGACTCAAAGTTAACTAACTCGGTTCTCATCCGGCGGGATCGGCATACCATATGATGGGGAGAATTTGCAATAATTGAAAGACGGACTAGGTGAATGACAAGCACGACTTATCACAGCTTTCCTCCTCATGACCATATGAATTTCGCCCCATAGGCCATGTGAGTGAAATCAGCTTACTTCGCAACGATGAGAAGGAGAATGACCGTGGACGCGAGTAGTACGAGTTCTCTTATTAAGTCCGCAGCCAAGCGAACAAGACTCATTCTCCGATCTATTTTGGAATCAAGTCTACCCTCCGCCGTGCCTAGATTGCGTTCTGAAGCTTGACCCAGCTTAATCGTATCATCTCACACGTACATTACTCTCGCGTTCGTTGCTAAACCAACTGGGAGACATCGAAAATGATGATGTTTCCCAAGAATAACAATGAAGAGGTGGTGAGTTGGATGAAGTCCGCGCAAGAATGATGTAAAATAATAATGAAAATTTGGCTCATGAACGACACTACAACAGAATGCTACTAAGGTATGCAATCTCCAATGGGATTATACAATTTCTAGGTATCAGTATCCTAAACTAACAGAAGTTATTTTCCCTTCCATAACCACAAACATCACACCAATCAGCACATTCTCCAAACCTGCGCATCAACTCTCCAACCCCAATAGAAATCCCTGGTCTTCTCCGCCGGCATAAGAAACGGCCACGGACTTTTCTTTAACACATAATTCTCCAACAATTTTGCAAAGGTTATCTCTGTACCAGGAACTGTATTCCAATTCCAATCATATATATTGCTCCTATCGTCATACGTCAGGAGTTCGAACTTTTCGAGTGCGAGATCATCTTTCAAAGTGGTCAGGATATCCTTCCATTGAAAACGGGTCAAGTAATTCCAGCCACTGCCAGGTCCACATCCATATCCTCCGCTGAGATGTAAATTCTTGAGAGTGGAGCGATGACGCTTGAGGAACGAGACGAGAAGTGGTCCTGGAACATCTGTTTGATGGAGACGAAGACTTTCCAAACGAGGGATCGTAATACTATAGAAAGAATTCTGCCAAGAGATCTGGAATTCCGGCGTCATATTTGTAGCAAGGTTCATGGCAAACATCAAGTCTAATCTCCGAAGGTTTTGTGCTGAAATTAAAAGATCCGCAATTCTTTGAGCAACGAGTGCGTCCTGCCATGAAGTAAACCCATAATCCCAAAACCCAATCGATAATTGCTTGAGAGAAGAAACGAGTCCATTAAGAGATTTATATGGATGGCTAGGATACTCGGATATGAGACAAAGTCGATGTAGAGATGGTTGCAAAGGAATGAAAGGAGGGGACACAAGTTCCTGAGATGACAAACAGTCCATGGGTAGGCAATCAAACTCGACCGATGAAAGTGGCACATTGGCTGCATTAACCGCTGCTACTATTGAAGTATAATACCATTGAGATAAATCATCGGCCATGAAATGTGTTCTCTCTTCTTCAGCTGTCGAGTTCCAGTTAGGGATCCATGTTGACGTTGATTGAAACATATTTTCCGAGAGTGGATAACTGAGTGAAGTAATCGTGAGGTTCCTAAGATTGGGAAAGTTATTGAAAGCTGTTGTCAAGTAAACGGGATCGCAAAATCCGGGTTCGTTCGCGATTCGTCGCCGAAGAATTTCTCTCGCATCTGAGAAGTAAAAGGTCCATTTCCTCGCATCGCTTGAGTCCAGAAATATGACTATCGACTTGATCGTTTGAGCTAGGTGTGGATATTCTGATACTTTGCGCAGTCTCTCCATATCCGTTGGTTGACAATGAGGGTGAAGTTTAAAGCCATCCCTAAATAGTCTCTCAGTCCCCGTTATAGCCCAAGCTCGAGATGTTAACCGTAGGGATCCTGCATCTATGATACTCAGATAATCAAAAACAAGTACTTTAATCTCGGAGGGGAGACCGAGGTCGAGACCGAGATCGAGACTGAGACCGGAAAAAGCGAGTGGTTCTTCGTTTTTGGGCAATTTTGGTGATGTTGATTCTTGGGGTTGTGCGTTCTTGAGGGCGGGCATTCTTTAGAACTGAAGTACAAACAATGAAAATCGAACTTGATAAAACAAGAGATGAAAGTAGCAAAGCAAGCATAAGCATAACCAAAAGCGGGACACAAAGGATTATGTGATTTTAGGGAAAAGTTATTAAAATTAAAGGAAGACAACAAGATTCTATAGATATAGAAATAATCAAGGGAAAGGGCAACCAATAAAGCCGCCTACTTCACTAACAACCTTCTTTTTGATACATTCCTACTGAGAAAACTTAAAAGTCCGATGAACATCTAGTAATAGGAATAGGTACTGATTAAACTTTACGAAGGGAACTACAAATCTTTCCATGAACCGCATGAGGAATATAACAGAGCGGTTGAAATGGTATAAGATCCTATTAAGTTTTCTGATGGAAGAAATTAAGCTACCAGTACTACTGGCATATCTTAAAATAATGACTCTTTTCCACTTCACCGGAGCCCAAAAAGTCACAGTCCCATAAAGAATTGTACCAAAGCAACCGGCTTACCAAACGCACTGGGTATAAGTTTCAGGAGACTTTCAGAACAAATGCTTTTGACGAAGTGGTATAATTGCTAGAACCTCATCTCCAAAACTAAACGCCTATATTCATGTAATTCAACATTAAGCTCGTATCCATGGTATCTATATTATTCCCCTTATGTCCCACTGTGAAGGTTCGCATGTCGATGTACTCCACAACATTTCCAAAATCCCAATTGAATCCATTATCCAGACAATCCATTACCCCGCGATACCCACAACCTTCGCCCGCAATATTGGCCCACATTTTCACATAACATTACACCCACAACAACAGCAAGCTGCTGCACACCCCGCACAACACCCCAAAGCCACATCATCCTTGTTATGTTTCCTCTCGACCTGTTCTTGCTGCACATACACCACTTCCCTCTGTCCTCCTCTTCCATCATTCGTTACGTATACTGGTGGTTGAGGTTGAGGTGGCGCCTTGTTTTCTTGACTATAGACCGGTGGCATATTTGCGACATCTGCTGGTTCACGATCCCAGAGACTCCGATGAGGTTGTTGAGATTGTTGTGCCATTTTTGATCGCGAAGAATAGGTGTAGATTGGTTAATTTTGCGACGGTGATTGGGTTAATGAACGCAAGTTTGAGGGCTTGAGAGTCGAATGAGTAAAGGTTTGACTTAGGCTCCTTCCTTTTCAACCTAATAAATCCTTATGATTCACTTCAACTACTTTCCCTTGCTGTACTTTGTTTGTGAATCAATCAAACAGCCAGCCTCCTTTCACATACAGCATGAAAAGAGGAGGCGACAGTAAGAAGACAAATAAATACTCATTCATTTCATTTCGTATTCTCACTTAACAATAGGCTGAGAAGGAACCCGACCTCTGTCACTGCCCGACAACTCAGCCTCTTGTAATATCCAATCATGAAGGATGATGATTAAAAATGAAGTTGAGGTTGCACATTGGAGGTGGTGCCAAGCAACTTTAGGAAAAGGATCAGTCCATATAATGATTTACTGCAAGGGATATTATGTAAGCCGGTGAGATGAGGTTGATTGTTCGATAAGGCCACGATATGATATGACAACGGAATCTCCTCTTCATCAAGAACTATACGACGAGGAATCCTTCATCGAATAATTTAAGTCTTCTTCTACTCCATTACTTGAATAGGGGGAAGGATTCGTCTAAACCTTAATAAACCCACCGACGCGGTTCCCGAAAATCATCCATCACGACTCCACCCCCGCTTCCAAATTGTCGATCAATACAGCCCTCTTTATCTGGGGCTCCTAGCTTTAGAACCTTCATCTACATCTACCACAATCTTTCAAGTCCCGACTTCCTCATACACAAATAATCATGGCTCCTCGAGGTCCTCGAATCAAGTTCAAGCCAGGTCTCTTCATCATCGCCTTCCCTCTACTTTTCTTGAACGTTCGAAAGCCTCATGTGCCTCCACGTAAGAGAGCATAAACTTCGTGCTCCGAGCTTTTCATCATCTATAAAGCTCATGAGGTACACAAATACCAAAATAGATGATACATAAGGCTGAGGGGGCGATGAAGGTGAGGCTGATGAGTCTGGACACAATGTTCCCACAGCATTAGGATTATTAAGTTTGTTTTCTAGATCAGGCTCAAGAGCTGGTCTGAACCCGAACTCGATTACTCGGTACGAATCATCGATAGCCAACCCCAACCTCACCCTATGTGTTCTTTCATTCTAGTCTGTTTTATCCTTAGGCAAAGCCGGAAGATAGACACATCCTCCAAGAGAATTTGAATATTAAAAATCGCTCTTGCTGAGCTTCCAACACACATACCATGAGGCACACATTGTAACCTACCGGTTTTCTTCCAAATGTCCCTTATACACGACGGTTACCTTGAACAATATACCCACAGCACCACTTGTGATATCCAGTATTGACTTGTCGTGCGACATGAAAGGCACATATCTCAAGCTCTACTTGCATTTCGGCAACATGGTTATAAGTTCGATAGTTTTGGGGATGATTTTTCTATCGCGATACACGGTTCAGACTGCAAGGATAGACAAGTTACTAAGAGCTAAATGGAAATCTATCTCGAGTTTGTGTATTCCGGTCTGGATAATGATGTTCAAATCACAAGTGCGTGGGAAATTGTCATTCTGTCGGACCTAGCCCCATCCAAGCAAGCGAATGTGACATATATCTCGTGTTATGATCAATGTACTGTTCTTCTGCGACCGACCATCTTTTTCCTCTTTTCTATTCTCTATCTTTTGCACGTCTACCTTTAGGCCACTCATCACTATCACAATCTGAGCCTCACCAACTTGCTTTAGATGATCAAGGAAACATGCCATGGAACTTTGATTTAAGCTGTTGAGACTACATCCCTCTCCATCAGCTTCTTGAAGAAGTGATTCCTCACCATCTATTTAGATTCGCAATGATAGTCCTGCACTGCAACTTCCACATGGTGGAGAATTCTCGAACGTGTCTATGGGGGAGTATCTTTTTTTCCGAGCTCGTAATTTATCAGACTTCTTTTGTTATTGTTATCACTGCTTCTCACTATCAATATTTACATTTCTCCACCCTCTCGTCCACTGTACTCGTATAATAGTCACTGTAAATGTAATTTGGGTTAGTTACTGGAGAGAACATGGTGAACATGGGTGTAAATAACTGTTCACCCTGAAGGAAGACAAATGAGCACCCTTTAGACTTTGATTTGGATGTTAGATTCCTTGCTTTTGTACTGAACCCAATGCGGAGGTTCTCTTGTTCCATAGAGACTCGCATAGTACGTTACAATATTGATTTGTACCGGGGTCGCGTTTATTTTGATGTATTATTACAAATTTCAGATGAACTCATTCTGGGTGGTTGAAGCTGAAAGTTATACGTTAGATATAATACGAAAATCCGAAAACAATCTTATTGAAAGTTTTAAAACATATTTAGTGGTATATATACATGACCGGACGCCGAAGACTTCATTCGATTAGCTTACGACAAGAACCGTTATACTCCTGTCCTTTTATAAGTGATGATTAAGCTAAGGATACCAAGCTCTCATTTCTGCCTAGTGTAAATGAGCTTTTATACTCGCGAATACCATCGTTCTTCTCTCAAGTCTCCACAATATATTTTTTTCCCGCTTAGCTCGGTAATGACTTCATACACCAAACAATACATTCAAGACTCAAAAGCACAAAATCAACCAGCAAAACTATAGTTGTCAGACAGACACCTACCTCTACGCAGAAAGTATAAAAAAAAATACCAAAGAACAAACTGGCAAAACCTAGCCGCCCCACGAGAGGGGCGGGAGGAAACCCCCCAGACGAGATTTTTTCCGATTCGAACCAGGCGTGTTACCACTCCACCACCAGACCGCATTTGACCTGAACAAACAAGACTGCTTGCCGCCTTTGCGATCTGGATGGGAGAATATGTCTTAACGGGGTTTATATAGTAGAGAAGCTTGGTGGGTTATCCATTATGCTGACTGAGTACATAAATGTAAATTCACGCGGAAATCATCTTTTATTATTTTCTCTCATGGGCTTATGGACTTTTGTTGATTCACAACCCTGAGGATGATATGAAAATGGGGAGCCTGCTTGGTCCTGAAGGATACAGTGATGTGATGTTCCGTTGTATTCATATCATGAAGCCAATACTATTATCGTATACATTCACTTCTCGACGCATCTCTGCACAACGTGTGTTGCGATATTTTGATACATAAGTATCTGTATGCCGGTACTTTCGAAAATCATCAGTCTAGCAAAGTCTTCTGCCCCTTGAACTAAAGATTTTATTGGTGTGGCCGAGTGTCAAACATAAATTCAAGTATTCCCTTCCTCTTCTTAAGTTTTGACTTCGTTTCATCTTCCAATTGCATATTGCTAGTCGTATTGAGACAAATTTATCTCAAGCATTGTCATCCACAGGAAGTCTTCGATTTTTATTGATTGATTTGGCCGTCGCCGATGAGACGATAAGCTTCTTTCACAACGCAGTAACTCAAGTTCTATTTTCAACTCTCGTAGCAGGAAGACAACATAGGTACAAAATACGACCTGCTAGAAACACAGGAAGATCCATTTCGGTGGTTGCGAGGTACTTACTATTTATCAGTCTGGAGGAACAGCCAAACACTTTATTTTCGTCACCCTATACCGCCTTTCTCGACCTAGTATAAGAAATTCAAGATTCACTAGCAAAAGCATCCTCCGCATAGTCTTCCTTTTACACCGCCCTCTATGGGGTCTGTATATATTCGTAAACCCTCTCCCTGCTTTGCGAGCATTGTTTGCATACACACAGAGTTCTGGTTCACAATTTTTGTAGGTTTGACTTGGCAGAGTGAAGCTGAAGGGGGACGGCGGAGCGCTTTGCGACATTTGGCCAAGCGCTTACATCTCCATAAGAAAGTGCAAATAATAACTCAAATGCGTAGGAGTACTTTTAGTTCTACTTCCTCGGTATATCTTCTCGTTGCCACGCAGAGAGTTTGATTTCATCTCATGTTTGTCACAGAATTGGATCTCAGTTTTGCAATCACTTGAAGATTATTATCCCCATAAGAAAGCATTTAGAATCTCTTTGGGTCACTTCTACCAAATACGAAAAAACTCTTGACCATTTTCATACAGACTATTATAAGCTATTTGCACCGTGTCTCCAACGATTAATTCACTATTAGTCTTCCTACTTCTTAGCATTTATATTTACAGATCTCCAGTAAATTAAATTTGCATCACACGTGTATATATACGCCCTCCTTTCATATCATTTCAAGTAACAGTTGCTGACAAAAATGAACGAATTGTTGAAGGGAGCTTTCCACCAATCTCTTCTAATATATTCATAACTCCAGTAGCAGATTGTCTCATTCTTTTTGAGCTGCTTAGACATGCTTTTGAGTGTTGTCGTAACTACGCTATTGTTATCATTACTGAATTATATTTGCCATTGTCCTAGTTAACGGCAATTTCTATCCACAGGGAGACCTCCAGTCATTGTTCCAAGAGTCATAGAAAAGTCGAGTCTTTAAGGGAATTGAAAAGGCAGTGGATTCCACAGACCCTTTCGATGACCCTTGCCATTACGTATAGTATATACAGAACTAGGTCATTGGTAATGAGTCTTCTTATATAGAAAATAAATCTGCCATTCCGCACTTAAAAATCGCTCGGCAAAATCTCATGGGAGGTATCACTGCCCCACATTTTCACAGTCTTTATTTGTTGTCATGTGTATATAAAGCACCGGACTACCACCTCTACTACTATAACTACTACTACTTTTAACAGGCATCAAAGTATGCAACATGCCATCCTTCGAAATGTGGGATTTGGGGAATTATTAGTCTTGGCATTTCAAGGTCCAGACCGTTCCTACTTGTTACCTCAGCTATATTACAGTGCAGTAGCATTGAGGTGTATCTATATACGTTATCTGAATGGCACATTTACCTTTATCGTCCTGCTGGTTGTCGATTCTGAACCCCTAGGAGGAAATCCATGTATCATCACTTCCTAGATCTTTAGCGCAAATCTATTGAATCTCATCAGCCAAGCTTCGACCCATTCTCCCAGCTCCGTTCCCTTACACTTGTAATGGATGTGCAGTTGTAGCAGAATGTCGCTTCGTATAGGAGAATCTGCAGATATTTATATAGAATTCTCTCGCTGTATTCAAGCACCAGAAAGATTGGTTAGTAAAGAGAGCGACCACATCACCCCTCAGTTCAAGCCATAGTATTAGTAATCTCCTTCTCTATTATAATACGCTCAATTATTGAGTCAGCTTGCTCCGCTGTTCAGTATATCCCCTTAATTCAACAGGACCTCATGGGGTTGCTTTAAGGAAAGTCCTTCTGAGATCTGATGCTAACATCTTGCCAAGCAGAAGGCCACAAAACTCTTCATCTAAAAGATTCGGATATTTTGTCTTAAAAAGAAGATCTGAATTCACTGCCAAAGATATACAGACCCTACAAGAAGCAGCAAACAATTTGATACTATTAACCTAGATATATGGCAATATGGATTTAGATACCTTTTTGTACATACATCCGAGTCGCAATGTACAACCTTTCGCTGATCATCGTCAGTAATGCACAAAGAAGACAACATCGTCTACTATTGACAGCAAGGTATTTCATCAAACAATGATAAGTAGGAAGTGGCCACAATTCTCAAACTTCAAAGGAGATACTGGGAGAATATCATGCTGCACGACATCGATCTATGTAGATAAGAGCATGAAGAAAGAATAGCGCAAGCTTGTTGAATAACTGTACAATCTTTAACTTTCTCCATGGAATGTTGTATACATGATTTCGAAGCTCTTGTATCAGGTTTTGATAGTGAGAAAGTGATAGTTTATATGGCCGGCGACTCAAAGAAGGAATATTGCGTGGCAAGTCAACTGAGAACAGGGGTTGAGGTCGTATATATATGACCTTTGAGCAGAGACTGAACTCGGTTCCATCGTCCCTGGTAATAATAACAGACCAAAACCCATCCACATCATCCAAATCCCCTTTCACACGCCTGGGGACTCACCAATTATGTAAAAATCTCATGTGTCACGAGCCTTGCTAGCCCCATTCTTCATTCCCCACCCGTTACTTCTTGTCTGCACAGGGAGTTATATAAGAGTTATATACTTTCTTTGCCGTCAATGAGATGAGTTCACATGGGAATGGAGTGAGTTATACATCGGCATTACTGTATGTTTCTTTGCCCATACAAGTGGAAAGTAGAGAGCAATATAACATTCCCTAGAATAAACAGCACATAGTATATCCAGATGATAAGCTATTCATTGGCGTTTTCTTTGAGTAACTGTCGTTTGCAATACGCATTACTACTATCGATTAAGCCTCTATCAGCACCAACACTGAATGTTGATGTAGTAGCCATAAATCTCATTCAGAATGACCACGCAACTTCATTCTTTAGTACATCCTCAGATACCATAATTGATATCCCACTAGAGCTAGAAAAACATGAAGCCCAATTCGATCAACTCAAATATTGCTTCGGACATCTACTCCTCGCATGACGTTGCAGTAGTAGTTTATATAGTAATTAGAGAGTATCAAAGCTACCGCGCTAATACTCTCTCAGGGGAAAATGAATTGACACGGAAAGGTGTAAATCATAAGCATATTGGAAAGCTGACAAAGAAAACTAGTGAACGCCTGTCTGAGATCCAGTTCTGACGTTCTCCATATGAATACAAATTCTGTGACCCGAAATCCCCCGCTCTTCTTTTCTCTTTTCAATGCAGGAACATATAAAGTCATTCAGGTTAACGTTCCAGTCTATGAAAACAGCACTTTCTCCAATCCGAGATCACCCTGAATACATGGGGTATGCGAATGGGTTTGCGGGGATGATGCATCATGCTTATGCGAAATTAACTATCGGTGTGATAGAAATTAGAGGGAGGCCAGGGGGAATATTATAGTATTGTCTATTATACAGGAAGCTCGATGAATTGTTGCCGTTTCTTCCAAACTACTGTCATATATATCCGCATAATTAACCGCTGCCAGCTAATCCTAGCAACTCCGATATCTAGCATTATATATGGCATGGTCGTCAACAGTTTCACTTAGAATGACCACTGAGTCCACTCACAAGTACTGGATACAATCCAGAGAAAAGAGGACGGGTCCAACTCGAACCCAATCCCCCATGTTTGAAACTGCCTTTCGATCTTGTGATTTGTGTTGCTAGAAAATTATTGGGGAAGAAGATGTTTGTTTATATAGTGACCAGATGGAGAACTCTATTCGATGTGATCATTTAGGAGATGTTTATACCAATAAACCACTGTGCAACAATCCAATACATTTAGCCCCCCCCCCCCCACCTATTCAAACCCATATAAAGACCCTCTACTCAGCGTCCTGGGTTCATGCCCAGGCCTCCTCAAGCAACTGCTTTCAAGTAAGATACATCCGCTAAGAAGAGACGGGGATTGAGAACCGCAACCGCAACAATGAGCGTTACTTTTTAATTAGGAAATTTTGAAGATAGAGGTTCGCGATATAGTGCTCCACCTGGAGTATATGTAGGAAAGTTCTTATTGAGTCAGTATTTGTTAATATTCAGTAACTCAACTCAGATTAAATGATTTCAACAATTAAATGAAAAGCAATAAGAAGGATTGATCTTTTAAATGCACGATCAAGGGCTGGCGATAATAAGGTTACGATGAAGAGATTCAGTATATGAGATACCGGTATAGAAATCATAACAAGAAAAGAGAGGGGAAGGGAAGGATGATGAGGAGGAAGGTGGAGGGAGACCCAAGAAGTCCGGAGAAAGGGAGGGGGTGGCCATCGATATCGGAGGACTATTTTAGCTTCAAAATCATTTTCAGAGACTCCATACATGTTTTGAAAACGAAATGATGCTTGTAAAATCGACTGATTTCCTTTTATTGTAATATTACCAGGATTTTCCTTATTCTATACGAGGAATAAGATGTGAGGAATAAGGGATAATTCCTTGTATTGTATAAGTTGTATGATATAAGAAAAGATTTGTACAAGGTGCCTGTTCTGTAGGGATACTGTTCTGCCACCAGCGATAACGAGTGACAATGAATAGTGCTACAGTAAGAAAGTGTACAGTAGCTAGCTTAGCTACACGCACGATATGATGAAACAAAACACCTTTTAAGAAGCACATCTAAAAAGCCAAGCTTTGCCCGAAAAAGAAGAACCTTGGTATATAAGTATGAGTCAACGTAACTAGTGCCGAAAGGATGAAGATCTCAAGTTGGCACTGTGGAAGATTCGAGAGGAATGCAGTGGGGAGGAAGAATACTGTAGTTAATAGTTAATGATGATGGACTGAGTGAAATTATGGTTCTGGATATGAGACATGAAATGTGAGAAAGAAAGTGGTGGTGGTGTGCAATGACGTCCTGGAAACTCTCCGATAATCCATGGGATTTACTCACCAAATCTCAGAAAGTTGGTTGTAGTCTTTAATATATCCTTTGCAAGAGCGAATTGCACATGGTAGAATTGGCGAAGTACCCGAAAGTCAGAAAACAAAACTTATAGCTAGAAGCGATGTACATGATGGTATTGTGTTACAAGCTATATCTACACATGATCTATATCATCCCATCCAATCGAATCATAGAAATATCGAATTTAATCAACCACCTTTCCAAAGAAAGGGACACCCATGGCGCCGAGCAAAAGTCTAGCATGACGATCAGATGTTGCAGTTGTTTTGACTGTGACGTGGAATCCAGGGATCAATCTGGGTGGATACATCTAGGGAATTGTATTAGTTTTTGAACCCAAAAGCAAATGGTATGAACCATAAGAATTCTTACATCGTAGTTGATCTGAACTTCCGGGAATAGAATAGTTCCTTCTCTAGTGAAACCAAACGATAAATTTCCACTACTATCTCCGGTTGAAGCTAGTTGAGTTAGCCATATTTTTTCCATAACATCTAAGAAAGTAACCTACCCTTTACACCTTCCCAATCCTTTATTTTGGGAAATACGACATTGATACACTTGTCAAGAAATTCCATTGCATCATTATTCCTTATAGAACAAGTTAACGAAATCGGCATGCCCCTTCGAAGACCCCATTGTGCAACGTTATGTGATGCCTTATGAACTCCCGTCTTCACACCCGTAATTGATTGTAGTAACATACCAGCGACATGTAGATGTGATGAATCTCCAATTGCGCCTTTAACCATTGTATGTACGGTGATCTCTTTGATTTTTGGAATGTTGCGCCAAGTGATATCTTGTTCAATGAGACGCAAAACATCTCCACCACGAGGACCTCTCTTTGGTCTACCTTTGTGATATGGTGATGAATCGTCCCATGTTCGTAAACGATCAGGTTTAGGGATTGTGACGGTTCCAGGAGGTTTATGAACATATGCCATGGTCATGATATCCGGGGCGATGGCACATTGGTAGGTTTGTTCGAGACGATTGGGACCAAATGGACCCGGGGCATATTCTCGAGAAGAAGGATCGGATTTTCGTGGAGGTTGATGAGGATGAAGAGGTCCTCGATAGTATCTTGGTGATCGATATTGGTATCTATAAAAAATATAAGCATTGCCCTCTCTGTTCTCCTTTGGGTTGTATCTCGGCCATACCGACTGGCAGGAAGTTCCCTCATTCGTCCTTGTGCTCTCTTTATAGGATCGAAACTATCAATCACATCACTTGGCACATTTATTGAAGAAAATGAAGATTCCGATTCGAGATCTTGGAAATCTTCCGTAATTTCTTTTGCGGCAACAGCTTCTCCAGATGCATATCTGCGACAGGTCCTCCCCATCAATTTTGGCGTTGATCCTATTTCCCTTCTTGTTAATCGACATAACGTCGACGGTAATTCTCGTAACGCCATATTGTTGTGTATATTTGGAGCGTTTTTGGTTTTGGCTCAACCCTCTATATGGCAGGGCAACTTATCAAAAAATATATCTCTATATTGGCCTTAATTGATGTATGAGGCAACCAATAATTTTTGCTTAGCTAAGGCAATCGAGATACCAATCAGAACTGGGGCTAGAGTTAATTTGATTGGTTAACGGAGCTTTAAATGTTTCATGCGGCAAGGATTACCGATTACCGATTACATTACCAGTAAATCCCCGTATCGCTTTTACCTACTAGGTACCTAGTAATACTGATCGGAGAAAGTTCATCATCTTCTACTTTCTATGGTGGAGTCTGTTCTGTTCACTTCCTCTCATCATATCCTCTCCTCTCCGTGAACAACATAAAACAAACAATAACAACAACAATCACAATCACAATAACAACAACAATCGCATCAATCTGCGCTTACTCTTCAATCTTGCTACGCATACACGAATACTCACGGATATCACTTCCTCGAAGATTAACCTCGAGTCCATCCGCAAAGCCACACAGAAAGCGATCAATTCCCATCCCCTCTTTCATTTGGCCTTGGTATGGAGATCCCAAGCTGCCTTGAATTTTAACAACCCATCATCATTGTACTACGTACATAGTATATAGTACTCGAGTACAGACCCCACCACCACTTCGACTTGAGGGCCTTAATTATCCCACCTCCCCCTCCACAACAATAATATTCACCTACCATCCAGTTGGGAGAACTTCACGAATCTATCTTTCATCATGAACGGAATGGGAAAAAGATTTACTGGCAAGAAGGATAAAGACGGAGGAACTTCACATAAACAGGACAAATCGAAAGAAGCTAAAGCTATTGAGAAATTTACTGAGAAGAAGGTAATGTACCCGCACAGCTCATGTCCCATGCGTTCACATCTTACTCGAGTACATCGTACATCGTCTTTTTGGCATTTGGGAGCATTTTATTCTTTTACACGGTGTCAACTTCCGTAGTGCACTCCCATGATGCCAAGGAGTCTACTATTACCAATACTAACTCGGCATCTTCATTTGTTATAGACCCGATCCATCTCCGACATTTTTACCTCGGTATTTCGACTAGAGCTTAATAAAAAATTAAACAAATCGGAAAAGGAACAAGATGAAGAGAAGGAAAAGGTTGGGTGACTTCAGAAGAACTTGGAGAAGCTTCGCTGACGGAACAATAGATTGAACACCTCAGGCAATTGTTGCAAAACGAAGGACGGAATGACGTGAATGATGAACAGATTCTATTTTGTTTGAATTCAAAATTTGCCAAAGGGGATGCCGTCAAAGCACATTCTTTCTTGGTGGTAATCCAGGAATCGCTTTCTGGAATCGTTTATCCATACAACCCTCTTACGCGCATGTTAGGGGCAGAGAATCCCACAGCCACCTGTTGGCTGGATTCACTTTTGTGTGCCTTATTTTCAGTTCCTACCCAGTTTCAGGAGCTACTCAGCCAATCTTACGAAGACCCTTCCAAACAAAAACTAATTCAGTTGATTCGGTTGTGGGTAAACCTTCTGAGAAAGGGCATTTTGATTGAAGTTGCTATTGTTGGTCACACCCTTTCTATGCTTAATTGACTTACTAATTTCCAACAGACCGAACGTATCTTGGATAGTTTGCACGAATGTGGTTGGGATGACTTTGATAGGATTAGACACCAAGATCCAACCGAAGCCCACATGAAAATTGGAGATATCCTCGATTGGCCTATGCTTAACTTGAAAGTTGATTTCCAACATGGTGGTATCGAAAGTGAAGAGGATGATCATAAAACCTCACAAGAGCGAACAGTTCCGATTTCGATTCCAACGGATTATCACGGGTCAGGTCGTGTGAAACTCGAAGAGTGCATTGAAAACTCTTTGAACTCTTTTGTTCAGATCAGTAGATTTATCGAACCGTCCCTACAAGAACCCACCCCACCAGAAACAAGTGTAGATCATGACGAAAAGCCAAAACCAGAGCATGTCGAGACCATAGAAGGCGAATCTACCACTGCACCTTCAAGTCCTAAGGTGGAGATGGGTGGCCAGGTATATTCCCAAAACCAACTCGTCAGGGAGGTCACTCACGAGCAAAGATCATTATACCGTAGTCTAAGTCGTGCTTCTGCTCGTAAGGGAGTCGATAGGGAGGTCACTGTGCCGGCATTTCTAATGCATAGATTTATTCGTCCGTCCCCAATCTTTTGCCATTTAAATTCAAATGTTATCCCACCTAGAACTGTACCGGTACTAATTGGTAACATAGTTTGGCCTTCAAAGCCCGCTCCTGTAAACAATAAAGAACTCGCTCAACATCTTCAGAAACAGAAACCAATGTTGGGATTTGATCTGAAGAGATATGGTGTGGGAGGAATGGACGGCATAACAACAATGCGGATAAACACTCCGGTCGATATTCCCAAGGAAATGTCACTCCCACATTTTGTCGATGAAGATGGAGTTTCAGACAACATGCCAATTGCGGATCGTTTCAAATTAGTACTTCGATCCATGATTTGCCACAGGGGAGAAGATATCCATTCTGGACATTACACCTCTGTAGTTCACTTGAACATTGAGACTGATGGTGATTGGGATTCTGCACGACCCAACGATGATCAGCAACCACCAAATTATGTCGAGGATCGCTGGATGGTTCATGATGATATTGCAGATGAAAGAGTAGCCCGCGCTGATATTGAAGCAGCTCTTAACAATGACAAATACGGCATGCCAGTTACCTTGTGGTACGAGCTTGTTCCTATTTTTGAGTGTTTTGCCGCAGAGGAGTTGCAGAATTTTATGGATAATACGACGCCTCCCTCGTACACAATTTCCTCTGTTCCGAGTATAGATGTAAAGATTTCCAGAGCAAGCTCGGGTTTGAGTAATGATGAAGAATACTTTGATGGAAAGTTTAGCAAATCGAATTCGGCCGTCGAAATTTCATCCGAAATAGATCGAAAGCGTGCAAGTCTCAATCTTCCCGATGAAGATAGACCAGGAAGCGTTGCCGCTACAGACGGCAGTAGTGTCAGTGCGGAGAAATCGGATAGCGAATCAGCTCCTGTTACCCCAGCTGAGGAACCAGCAAGTCGCAGAGTGTCACGAACATTTCGAAGAAGCAAGGCAGAACGAAGTCGGCCAACAAGTACTTCGAACGAGAACCGCAACACTCTGGGATACTTCAAGAGTTTGGTATCAAGGACAAGCAAAGAGTCCTTGCACAGGCCAGACACGAGCAGAGAATCGACAGTTCCTGCACCCGCAATACCCGGATTAGATGGTTTTGCCGACTCTCCTTTCAATGGAGATGCGACAAAACCAGCCGAGACGAATGGTATGCTGTTCCGCAAAGGAAGTAAAAAGGGCAAAAAGCGGACGCAAAGCAAAGGAGTTATGGAATTCGAATCCAAAGACAAAGAGTCGAATGATCCAGATAGGGTGTGTACGATCATGTAAAAAGGACCGGAATGAGAGCATGATGCGTCTGGGTAGGCTTAGACTTGTGTATAAATTATGGGAGGTGACCTACATTGTGAATGATTGCTATGCATCGGCGGCGGCGTTCGAGAAGTCACATAGATATTATCAAGGTCATGGTTATGAATATGGGCATGGATATAGATATGGATGTGGATATGTATTTGAGATTCGGTGTTACACTGGCATTATGGCCACAATCAAGGATTATGAACACGACTGGATTGGGTAGGCCAACATAGGATAGGAATGGCCAGGGAGCCGATTCAGTATGTATCATACCTGAATGGTGGTATGAAGATGCACATTAATTTTGTGTGTCTGTTACTTCGCTTTTTTGGCATGGTTTATATATTCTGTGAGGAGGAGAATGAGGTGGTTATCCCTGGTTGGATGGGTTCAAAATTGGGGTTTTATTACATGTATATTTGTATAGTAATTTGTTTCTTTAAATTGATAATAGAGTACAGAGTTAAGCACAGTTAGGAATTGGGCATTGGGAACAAAGGAAAGGTACAAGTTTTTACAATAATCATGCATCGATTTTCATTTGCATGCCATGACTTGTCATGTCTGAAATGGTTTGTGTAATGTGATGAGATGGGGTGGAATGAGATAGGCTTGAATACATGTATATCACACAGTGTTTGTTCTAATGAGTGAGTGGTGTGTGAAAATCGATATCTTTGGGAATTGAAATCGCTAATATTTGGGATTTTTAAAGCTACGTACGAGTACATCTTTATTGGCTATAAATTATTTGCTGAATTCAGAATACTGGTGTATTGAAAAAGCTGTCTATATTACTAGCATACCCTAATTGCAGATTTTCTTGCAGCATAAGTATCAAGTAGATATTTTGCTTTAGAATCGTTATAGGCTTGTAGCTGTGTCTATGGCCCTTGCTTGTGTTACTCGTGATGGCGATTGAAATTTGGTCATATACCGCGGGTTATGGATGTATGGATGGATGGATGTAGATCTTCTGTTCTTACTGGTCTGGCCATACATAGCTCAGGTCAGGTTTACGTATCGAAATTCAAGAATTAAAGAACTCCTTGTATATGGTTAGTGATTGGCATTACGATGATTGATGGATGGTTTGTACGTCATAGATAGAGAGGAAGGTTAATATTATAGACGCTAATTGTGATGAGCAACGAGATACATGGTTGGGTTGGGATGAAGATGATGATGAAGATGGGGGATGATGGGATTTTGATTTGTTGTGATGAGATGTGGTTGAATTAAATGAAATGTGGTTGGATGAGATGAGATGAGATGAATTGAAGTTGAACACAAGTAATCAATTACAGTACCGGCAGTCATCGATCGGTAAACAAAAGTGGCGTTTTTCGGTTATGATGATCTCCTTTTTAAGTTTTCGCTAAGGGTGGCTAGCGAAGAATTAGTTTGGTGGGGATGTGGGGGTCACGGTTGAACTTGCCTTTTGGGTTCGTTCATCTCAGATGTCATATCATGTAACCTTATTTTAGCGCGTCATATGGTATGGTTCATCGGCACTCAAAGTTTCTGGTTTCCAGTTACCATTTGCGAATGGGGGAATTGTAATAGTATACTATATGACAGGCGATGTTCGGGTTTTGAATTCCAAAAATCTCCGTCTCCGGTATGAGGGAGGATTTGGGGGAGCTTATGGTACATAGTATGAGTATGAGATATTTTGACTAATACGTCATATTTATATGGTTTATGACGGCACTGTTTTATTATCATTAAAATTATGTATACAATAAACATTATAATGATAATCTCAGTCTAATGGATAATTCTCCGGAGACATGCAACAAAATGGGGGATTTTGGAGTATCTCGTGATTTGGTGTTGAGGAAAGACATGGAAAGGTTGGGAAGGTGTTATTTTATTGTATCTCAGGTCAATGCACAATTATATACTAAGTAGCGCAACGGACTTGGGGATTGGTATAGGGTATGTTTGGTTTACAGGGAATGGGAAGTGGGATGGGAACGGAGGGGGGTGAGAGGGATGTAAGGAATTAGGGTGTAATGTGTTGTAGAGACGATGCTGTAATGAAATCTGGCCGCAAAGCGATTTCTGCATTGATTCATAATTTTACAGTGTCAGGAGGAAATGATTCATGATGATTATGAGTAGGAGATGAGGAAGTGAAGGAAAATTCAGAGTCAAGATGTAGATTGAAGGCCTATGAATTGTTATTTTAAAGTTATATTACATGATTGATTTGTATCCCCAGATCTTGAGTGTGTAAGATTTCTTCTATTTTGCGCTCTTATTACAGCAAGCAAGCAAGCCAGCAAGCCAGCCAGCCAGAGTGCCATGAGCGGGCCGAGGAAAGGTTGACACGGATCGTGTTACTAGCTGAGGAAGAAGTGCCATTTAATCATCCGGGTATAGAAGCAATGATTCCGCAAGCAGTTAGGAGAAATCTAGTCAATCCGCGAACTCATGACATTCCTCCAATAATAACTGAAGGAACAACAGGATATATTTGTTGCACATCTAAGTTTCATGCAGGACAGACTTGGCTTACGAAATGTGTCTTTAGCTTAGTTTTAGGGGACTCATTAGTGAGAAATATGGGTTGGGGAATCAAGTCGGGTTGGGTATCATTTTGGTTGATCTAAGTTGATTATTTTTCTAGCTCATAGCATACTCCAATAGGAGTTCAGAGAAAAATAGAATATGTTTGTTGCATGTCTAAGTTTCATGCACAACAGAATGAGCTTACCAAATGTGTCTTTAGCTTGGTTTTGAGCACTCATAAACATAAGCATGAACATCAATGGGAAATCAGGATTGGATAATAAAGTTGAGTTGAGAGTGGGGATTATTTTGGTTGCTCTAGGTTGATTATTCCACTGAATTATAGCATTTTTCAATAAGAGTTCAGAGGAGAACAAAATGTATTTGTTGCATGTATAAGTTTCATGCAGGACAGACTTGGCTTACGAAATGTGTTCTTAAGCTTGTTTTTTTCAAGGGCTAGGCGAAGGGAAGTTGGAGAGTGAGGATCCAGGTGAGTTCAGTGTATACAATCTTACCTCCTCCTCCTCTCTCCTACTCTCCTTATTATGTCTTAAATATACATTTTCTTTCAATTCCCCCCCTTTTTAATCTATTTATTTATCCCTATTGATGCTATCCTTCTTCCCCTCTAGTTAAGGAGAGGAGAGGAGAGGAGGGGAGATTGAATACGCTGGGTGAGTTGAGAGGTAGTGGTGATTGTTGGTGATTTGGGTCACTTTAATCGAGGGTACGAATAGACTTAGGGCCAAGAGATAGTGGGGAGTAAACAACTTCGGTGATTCCTAGAACGCGGTTCAATGTGTTTGTTGCATGTCTGCTCGTATTGTGGCTTGCACTAAGAGTGTAGATCATCAGTGAGTGTCAATTATTGGGCAGTTGGAGGCGTCAATTGGCACTGCTGATCATTAGACGACATCGATGGTTACTTAGGCAGTGTCAATCATTAGAAAGGATTGGAAATAGAAAGATACCAACCACATTGACAAAAAGCCCAGCACACCAAAAATCAGAATTCTTTTTCAATACTCCATAAGATTTTTGATAAGAGTCTAATTGTTGCAATCCAACGTATCACTCAATCATCAGGAAACTCAGTCATCATGAACACTGGCAAGAATCCAATCAAATACAGTTTTCGTGTCAAGATAGTACTTGGTTATAAGATTTCGAATTCTGAGTTGATGAGAAACTTTTGGGGTGCACAACATGATTTATCCGTAATTAATGGAGTTTGTAAGAGACATCTAAGTTAATTGCAATCCAGCAGGAGAAACTGATCCCTATATAAACATTCAAGACTACTTGGGTGCAATACAACTTTTGGTTGTACATCATATCAGCAAACTTCAAATTTTGAGATGTTGAGGGTTTTTGAAACCATTATCCCACATCGCATCTTTCAATCCACTGAATCCCCTACCACCTTTACCTTTCTTCTGAACTTCGAGCGAGTACACAAATCGTACCTCTCAAGTTGGAGATATAGATCCTCTACCAAGGTTGTGGTAACGATGTATGGTCAACAACACACGAATAACTGTATGGTCAAATTCTGAAGTATATCTATACCTGCCGCATTTACATCAGTGAGTGTTCCCCGGATGTAGTGGTAAAACAGTTCTAAGTGAAGTGCATGAGATCTTCACCAGATGAAGTATAGCGATAGTGGAATCAACCAGCCCAAACCATTCAGTATCCTTCAATCTAATAGATATCACGCCTCATATTTGACTTTTAATATCATGATAATTGTATCGAATCAAGATGTTATATCGGATATCCAACTAGAAATGGCCTGTATTGTTATTTAAGGGGTGGTTTTCAAGTGTGTCCATTGCCTCCAGGGTAAGTTCCACAGCATGATGAGAGCCCAGTCCATTTTACCAGCTGTCAGTGGACGTATGAAAAAGTATCTCGTAGTTAGGAGAAAAAATCCTGGGGAAATTTTTAAGAATGTGACTTCGTTATTCTTCATTGTTCTATCTTGAGAATTGTGAATTTCCTTGTGGTTATATATGGAAAAAAAACTCGCGCTATTCAAAATCTTCCGCATAATGAACTCTCTCTTTCCGAAAATCTAGATATGCCTTTATAACTGTCTCTACCGTCTTTGTCTTTTTATCAACATATACCCGGATAGCAATGGATATAGTCAAGTAGTTAACGAGACTTAATCACTTCCAAAGCCTTCTTTTCATGCATGATGTGCGAGGTTGTTACGCCACGTAATATATTAGCAGCTTTAATATTAGCTACATGGCTGAGGCTGCCTGTGAACATCAGATCGTGGCTAGTGCTCAATCTCCGTGTTAGAAACGAGTTCATGGCCAAAATCTGTGTAGCAGCGGTTTGTGAGTTAGTATAATTTGGGCATTGAGATGAGAAGTTCTGGTGGCTTAATCATTTAGCGATCGGTTACATGACAGGTGTCAGTTGTTTGGAACATTCATATCATATGAAACTAGTATTGAATATACAACAGCATATTCTGAAAATCCGAAAACCCATTTAGCACTCCCCACACGGCATGAGTCATACTAATCTCAAGTCTACCAAGTTTTCGCAGAAATGTGTTTCCACCGGTGTATCATCAAGCTCGCCCTCATATTCACAGCAAGTGTAGTAGCAACAACATTTAGACTTTTTCAATCGTCGACGCGTGTAAACAGCTGGCTCAAAAGATTGCACTCCGTCCTTCAATTGACCGATCCAAAAAGCTCTGTTGTTTCTTTTCTTAGCTCTGAAGTCTGGAGATAAAGCAGTGGAATCAGTAACTCACATTCTGAAATCCGGACTTCGATTAGTAGGCTGAATAATACAACATGGGCAAATCTTTAGACCAGTGTCGAGATCCTCTTCGTGTTCACTTTTCCATGCCCCTGCTATGTTCTCTGGTAGGCAGGCTTCTACACGCTCCCTTCGCATAAGTTCGAAATCCGAACGGTAATCGTACATTTCAAAAAAGAACATCATATCTCCCGAGTTTTCACGCCTAAGTATACGTATATATTTGACATTAGCCATTTGAGAACAATACTCAAATACCTCTTCAGGCGGGTGTAAGTCCGACTCTCGTGCCAAGTAGTCTTGCAAGTCGTGATTAGCTTTTCTGAGGAGATGAAACCATCTCATAATAACTTGTGCCAAGCCATTTGCATCTGATGGCCAGCGGCAGAGGTCGAGACCTGTGAACAATTGAGCAAAAGGGGTTGCCCCGTTCTATCGAGACGGTGCACATCAACCTTCCCTTCGAGAAGAAGAGAGACCATGGAGCTAGCAGCTTCAAATTCACCCTGGTTGGGGGGGGGCAGGGGGGGGAAAGGGCAGATACCATATGGAACAATGTCCCTTGTAAAGCCGTTGGAAAATCTGGAAATCCATCCTTCAAATTTAATGAATTTGTGAATTTCTTATCCTTTTTGGCCATGATAATCGCCAATTTATTCGTACACGGCGAACAAGACTTGAAATACCTTTTCAGTATGGTAAGCTGGCCGTACGGGGGATCAACTGAGACCACAAATGTATCTTGCTCCAGTAGATAGCTAAACGCTTCAGGTGGACCACAGTATATATCAAGCACTGTGGGTCCAACACAGCGATGATCTTGTGATTTTGACTTCACCTTACATCGCTCGACTGGAATTTCTTCCATCGGATCACATTTTCCCAATTCTACTGGAACTCTTATCGTGTCTAGAACCTCTGCAGCTGGGCGAGTAATCATTCTGTGATATCGTATCGAAACATTAGGAGGTTCAAATGATTTCCCATAATTCTCCACGTTGGGAGTGAGTCTGCCACCGAATTCAGCCGCGGCATGCAAAGCAGTCCTAAGAGTATATCAGTTCATGAATGTGTTCCCGGCAGAATATCCCTCTAGCATACCATCCGACTCTGATACCTTCGTCGCTGCTACGTGCTCCGTTCAAAAGTAGCCATCGGCATAACTCGTGTCGCATATTGGCTGCTGCAACCTATTCTCACAGCCTTATTAGTATACTGTCTGATCATCGAATCAATGGCGCAACTTACATGGAGCAGGGTCCAGCCATCTTCACTAACGTCGAAAACACTTCCTTTCTTTGTTTCGATGAGACGAATCACCTCGTTTTTATCCCCATTACTACAAGCGGTAAATATTGGAGAGTCATTTGGAATAATACAGAGAAATTGCCAGGAATATTTCCACTTGCCAAAGCGTCGGCTTTGCTTCATCGAGTAAGCTTTCATTTTCAACCACGCCTTCGGTAGAAACTGTAGATAAATATCGACATCAATAAGTTCTGGATCAACTGTAGTACTTTCTTCACTAGAAGAGCTTCTGACAATATCACAGTCCTCACAAGCGTAAGTGAGGGAGCGATAAAGTCCGAGACCGTAAGCCTTCATTTTGCCATCGATTAGAGTGCGTGTAGCGTTACGTGGTTTATGAATCAAAGGAATCCCTGATAGTCCTGGAAGATTGGTCTGCTGCACTGGACAGGGAGCCAAGTAAGCCGAGACGGGGCGGCTTGTCGATTCAGAAACCTTGATCATCGTCAGATTAAGCATTCTCACAGTATGACTGCCGAATGTTAGTTCAAGCCGTAACTTCTGTCACCACCCAGACTCACTCCAAATTGCAACTTCTTGCCATTTCCAACAATGATTTGGCTCTCTCCAACCTATTGGTTAGATCTTGTATGATGTGACCTTTCAAAGTCGCCTTCATCCCCGTCCACTATCTCGCGGCTTTCCCGTTGGATATTCTCATACCGTCCTCCATTTTCCGCAGTATTTCATCAAGCTCATTCATTGTATGGCGACAATACTTTAATGTCTTCTCCGTAATGGCAGAGGTTGTCCGTCCACCAGCACTTTCGGCATCATAGTATTCGAGCAATAACCCCCCAAGAAGCTCAATCTCTGTAATCAAATCCGTCACATTCTTCGGTGCGTCTTTAACGTTTGCCAAGAAGGTGTATATCTTTTGGGAGCTGGCTACGATGGAGCCTGCCAGCTGGGCTACAGCCACGCAGCTCGCAAATACACCCAAGATCTCGGCCATTCCGGAATTTTTAGCGAAGCTTGTATTTAGTTGATGTATCAAAGATTACTTTCGTATTTCTAACAAAAATATGGCGGCAAGAAAACCAGGTCTTAAAGTATCGGCTGATAAGCTTGTAACAATCTTTCCATTCGGATAGCCTTGTGTAGTAGCGCGTCGACGGTAAGACAGAATCGATACAAACATGCCCGCAGGCTATGCTTCGAGCTATGCATAATACCTGGGCAAAACCATAGGCTTCTCTTTTTATATAACGGGATCCAGAATACTCTCCACAGCCTTGTGTAGCATCTGGACTTCGCCTCATTGGGTGAGTGCCTTGTTAGTCAACACATTTAGACAGTCTGAGTGGCGAGGCAACGCGCACTATGTAATACTATGTGTCAATGATTTATAGAAAACCAAAGAAGATATCCAATAGTGTCAAGGCATCAATTCTACGACCCTCATTATTGGGAAATTGAAGCCCCCAGCCCACTCGATATGCTTGACAACTCAGACTGATTGCAAAGCTAACTTGCGGTATGTAACACAATCCTGGAGATGCATCAGTCTGGAGTACTCGGAAACAACACCAAGTATATCACACACAGCCCTCTGTGAAGTTCACGTTCAAAGCCGATGCATTGCATTGCACCTCCTGAGCAAGTAACCATTAACTTAGGTGAGTACGTGAGTGGCCAGCTGTAATAGTCGCACCAGCCTTGTGAAAATAAAGGCCCAGGTGGTATATAACTTGGATTAAGTTAAATGTCAAGCGTCAAAAAATGACAAGCTGTCGGGAACTACGCAGATGAGTCAATAGGAGCTTTCGATTTGTTTGATAGGTATACATACCCTTGGCTCACAGACTCACGGTCAAGGCTTTGGCGTGACTTCTGAGGCGGTGTTGATGTCAATATCATCATCGGTACTGTAACCATGGCGTCAGTAGCCACTTTTGCAAAGCGTGCTTCTTGCTGTTGTGAAACGTATGTAGTGGACAAGCAAGAAAATAAATCGTATGAATTTGTCGCTCAATGAATCAAAGAAAGTTCTTCTTTCCTCTTTCGAAACTTGGACAGGATAGTACTTCCAAACAGCAATCGATATTTTTTTATTTTTCTGTATTGTATTGTGTTCATATCTATCCTCGAGTGAACAATTGAATTAAAATATGTTGCATGACTCTATTGATGGATGTATTACTTGAAGTACAACATACTTTTGTGCTTGATGCAGATATGACTTACATTATGTGAATTTTGCCCTAATATGAAGGCTTTACACGAGCTCTTCCAACACCTTCCCCTTTCGGACTATTCTCAAAATTCATTATTTCTTTTCAGCCTTTCCACCATCTTTGTTCAAACCAATCCCAAAGACCTCCAGTATGCCGTCCAGATTCTCCATGGCTGTATTCAGTACTTTCAGATCTTCTGCAATACACTGAGTTGCTCAATGGTCCTTTTGCCGCTGTGGTCATCGTAATCGTCAAGTAACTCTCAAGTAAAATCAACTTTTTCCGTGCATCTTTCGTTTCAAAACCAAAGGTACTTATATATATATCTTCCATGTCATCCTCACGGTTACACCCGCAAGTTGAGCGACTATGATACCACTGACCACGACGCTGACGGTTCTTGCCATCTCGATATTGGAGAAGATTGCCAGTAATGTTCTGCCCTTGCGAAAAGGATTTCCCGAGATAGTGACGTGTTAAGGGGGCTATGATATGCACAACAAGGCTAGAAATCTGCAGTCTCATCTATGGCCTCACAGTTTTGCAGTGCTTTATGCGCTTCAAACAGTCGAGCTGCTAGAGTTATTATATGACATCCGTAGGCATTTTTTCATGAATACTCCTAGTGATATATATCTATTGTCCAAGATTGAACTCTTAAAAGACAAGAGCTCTAAAGAGTAGGCTTTTAATTGTTCGACTATATATAATCTCGAAATGTTACTAGTAAGCTTTCATCTCAATAATTGGTTTTATGTTTCTGCTTCTACTTTCAAGCTACGTTATCCTCCAATATTATCGAGTGATACATGATCAACATCCATGCATCATTTCACTAGCATAATACCAATATAAATATCATCACTACTATATCCATTCATCTCATCCCAGTTCAACCCAACCTATTCCCTCCACCCTCCACGTTTCATTCTCCATCTCCATCTCCATCTCCAATCATAACAAAACCACTCAACTCACCCACGCTCACTCTCCAACCACCACAGCACACCATATACATTTATACATTCATTTCATTCCATTCTTTACCCTCCTCCTCCTCCTCTTCCTCTTTCTCCTTTTCCTTTCCCCCCTTCTTCACCTTCTTCTCCTTCTTCTTCAAACACTGAATCCAACCCAACCCCAACTCCAATTCCCCATTCCATTTCATTCCAGTCCTCTTCTCCTCTCTTCATCACAACACATCATACATAATCCCCTAATCCTCAAATCTCCAAGTCTAATAAACACAAACCACCATCATCATCATCACCTCACCACCACCACCTCACTACTTACTTACTTACCTATACTACCCAACTATCATCACCCTCACACCACCACACCACCAGAAAACACATCGTCCCAGTAGTGACTTGGACTTGAAGTCAGCGCAGATACACATTACCTTAGTATTTAAATTTAAATATAAATAACTTCATATCAACCACTCACTGCTAAGAATTACCTGCGCTTTCGTTCATCCATCCATTCATCCATTCACATTTGTGTTTTTCTAGTATTCAGTATACTATAATAGCATGATAGTATGACTTGCCATCTTGATATCGCAACGCAGCAACGCAGCAAAATACAAGAGTCTTCTGATATTGATATAACATCCATGTAGCATTTAGCATTTTGCATTCGCGTTCGTATTCGGTATCTCGCATCTTTGAATCTCGATCTCGCACTCAATTGAACCCTGCCAATCTCATCTCAAAACGAACAGCAAAGCGAACAAAAAAGCCACAAAAACAATCATCATCACAATTCTCAATCCCCATGCCCTCCATATATACCACTCTAATCTTGCGCCAACGGATTAAGCGTCTTGAATTTATCTCCACTAACATCACCACTCTTCCCGCCATGAACAGGCGTGGCAACACCACTGCCACTGCCTAAAGCCGGCGTACCAATACCCGAGAAGGGACTTTGGATACCAGAAGGAGCAACTGGGATTCTGATGTCTTCTGGAGAGCCGGGAATAATTTCTGGGGCAAGACCATCGATGTGGATGCGTTTTGCTTCGTTTTGATAGGAGGCGGGGATAATCTAGGGGGTGGGGTGTCAATTTGTAATTTTGGATAGAGGGGGTGTAAATAGTATAGAGGGAGAGTAGATATTACCTCAATGATTTCATTTCTAGGAAACTTAAGCGTAGGAATATTCATAGCATCACATGCCATGAGATAACCATAAAGAACCCTCAAAACAGACTCATGAGCAATGATCAACAGGTCATTTTGTTCTCTCTCGAGTTCCAGGATGATGGGTTCCATGCGGACTGCAAGATCATGGTATGACTACTTTTAAATCAGTATTTGTACATTCAAGAAGAGATAAGAAGATCGAGGAAATAAAGATAAATGAAACAGTGGAAGGAGAGGTAACATACCTCAGCACGAGGATATCTATGATGATAAGGATCCAACTCGTGCATCCTAACCTCCTCAGGATACAACCTTCTCAAAGCCCTCTCACTCATCTTCTCACAAATGCCCGGATTTAACTGACTCATCTGACTTCTCTGTCTAACTCTAAATCCCTCTCCCTTTAGATACTCTGCCGTCTCAACCGTTCTCTTTCTAGTAGATGCCCAAACAGTTAGTGGTTTAAGGGGTGCATCAGATCCTCCCGCCGCAATGGAAGCAGCTCTTTCTTCTTCGCGATGTTTGAGTAATGCATCGGACATCTTCTTGGCGTATTCTCGACCTTCATCTGAGAGCGATGCATCGGCTTTGTAGGAATCATCTAAGCTGGATGTACCGGCGCGAGCGAAGAATGTTTGGCGAGATTTGATATGAAGGTTCATAAGATAAAAGACAATTCGATGGGATAGGTAGCCGAAGCTGACGTTGTTGTAGTCGATACGCTCGCCTGCATTAATCATTTTGACGTAATTGAGATCAATCTCGGTCATAGTTTCGAAGTGAGGAATCTTCATATCAATTCTCTTCAGATAAAGTTTAGCAGCATCCTCAGGATCCATGCCAATGAACTGCGATTGTAGTATCTTAGCATCATCCTGGTACTTCCAACGCTCTGAAGGGAGGCAATTTACATCTGGAGATGATATTTTGACACTTCGAGCATTCTCTTGAAGGATCTTTTCATCCGTGACATATGATTCAAGGAACAATGTCTAAAATAGAGATTAGCGAGTGTCCAAAGAAGATCAAGTTGTTGTTGCACGCCACATACTTGTACATCATGCTTAGCAAACTCTTTTGCAAGAGATCTACGTCCGCCAGAAAGAGGGTTGACAGCATCATAAATGGCAACTTGACCATTTTCATGATTGAGCCAAGCATAGATATCCTCACGACACTTCTTAAGAATTTTTTGACGAAGCATAACTGAAGCAGCAGATGCGTTGATAAAAAAATAGTCATCTGGAACATCTTGACCTGGACCCATGGTAGCACGTCGATAATCTCCCAGATGAAAGATTCTTGTCTTGACACCCAACCTGGGACAATCAGTAAAGAAGAGACGTTGGATGTTAGATCAAAACTTACCATTGTAGATAACGTGAAAGAGAAACAGAGATATGGCTGCACAAGAATACTCCATTAGTACAAATCGATATAACAGCTCGATTTGCAGGAATAACTCACGTTTTTCCACGCGCAGGAAGACCGACTAGAACAATAGCAATCCTACCCGAATGGAAGAGCCGGCCGGACTCAGTTGAATACAACTGAGCCGGCGCCATAGTAGCTTTCTCATCTGGTAAGTCATGTACTCCATCGATGAAAGTTGAAGATCTCCGACGAAAGCGAGGAGAATTCGCGGCAATCTCTGCTGTTCTGTATTGTATCTCAGTATGGTAAAATTACAAGGCCATTTAATTACTGCCCTTAACTTAAACCAGCGGGGTATAGTTACTTACAATAAAGTATCCATATTATTATATCTTGATTTCTTAACAAGGTTATGTATCTCGGATCCAGCAGTCCTTCAACCCGGAAGGAACCCGTTATGGTTGTTTTGGATTTAGGTTAGTGTGGCTTGTGTGGCTCGTGTGGTTTGTGGCTTGCGTTGCTTTTTTGGATGTGTCGAGTAGAGCAAAAGTTGATCAAAAATTGCACCAGGGCTAGGTAGATAAGGACACTGTCGTTTGGGTATGTATGCTGTATGTCGTATATGTTGATAGTGAGGTTAATTGAGGGGAGTAAGATTATCCTACCTAAGCCATTTTGAGCCTAGCGGGTGGAACCCCTACGGAATCATCTAACTCGAGTTAGTAGAACAAAAACCCAGTAGTTATCTCGGTTGACTAGTAAGTGATTGAACGAAGTACTAGTACTAGAAGGGTCTAGATAAGAGCCACCATGCTTAGTCAGCTGGATTCGCTGCTATATAGATATAGGCTTTATTATCGTTAGAAGGCAACAAGCGACGGTGGAGGAGGCCAAGCCTACTGACTCCCCGACGATTGTAGTATCTAATATGACATTCGATTTCACTTCAATTATATAACTTCTTATTCCAAGAGCTTTGATTTCATGAACATTCAATCATGTCCTTTCTTTTTATACACAGGTAGGTATTTATAGTAACAAATAACTATTATGCCCCCTCTCCCGTCATCATCGCTGCAAAATCGAATCAATATAGTACAGAAGCATCCATCCTTATTTAACATCTCCCTTATGATATCTCATGTATCATACATGCCCAGCTACGTATCAACCTATCCGCTATCGTAAACAAAAGCACTCGCAATGCCTTCCATTCCAACCCAAATTCCAGATATGCTGCTCCAACAACGCAGAGTCCCCGAGAACATGAGGTATAAAGAAAGTCTATGTTATGGTCGAAGTAAAGGAAAAAAAGCTGAATCATCATCTTTTGCTTCGGACATGTATGCAGATATGCACCGTATTTCTCCAGCGGTAGAAAGAAACGAGGTTCATGGTTGTAGTAAGACATCTCGAAAGAAAATGAAGAAATAAGCTTTTGTATAGGTCTGGCATAGCAGTATTTGAGTCGGCCATGCAGATGAGGTAGGTGGCTATTCGGTGTACAGGTTCTTGTTCGTAATGGGTTTTATGGTATGGCATTAAATTTCGATTAATTCTGGGAGTGGAGGATGCGCTTTGGGAAGCATTGTGTCGAGTCACATATGTTTAAAATGGGATTTGAGGTGGGGCACCACCAACCGCCATTGCTTGTTCTTCAATCTCTTCACCACCAGACTCGATTGAAACTGCTACTCCAATCTTTGCTGCTTGCTGTGGAAATTGTCAGTAGAAAACACAAAGTTTTGAGCCGAGACTACATACCTTGAAGTGATCCATCTCAGCTGCAAAGGTAAGCTGCACAGGTGGTGCAACTCTCTTCTCTAATAAGCAGCTCAATTTTCCAGTTGAATCAACTTGAGCTCTGAAAGTAGACATACGGAAGTCATACTTGGCACCAACAGTTGTGACACCCTCCTTTCTGACAGGTCCGCCCATCAAACCAGCTCCAGACAACCCCGCGAATTGCAAGTTAAGGTCCACACCAGCTTCAACCTTATCTGTCAATCTTCTCCAGAAAGATGTGTTGACGGCCCCTTGCCCTTGTAATTGAGCACTAGCAATCCAATCACTGCCCTTGTATTTGGCACAGTATGATACAGCAGTATCGGGACCTTGGTTCATGGCTGTTCGCTGCCAGACAGCCTCCAAACCCAAAGCAAGGTTTGGGGTAACAGATTGTAAGTATTGACCAATAAAGATACCGGTGAATCCTCCATCGAGTATCGAAGGGTTGAGAGATTTGACTGAAGCTGTGAAATCTTGTCCGGTATACTCGTTGTCTAATTGTACCATAGCTTGACCAGGGGCGACTTGAAGTTGAGTCTTGGTAACGAAAGCTGGGGTCCATCGGTAATTGAATCGAGTTGTGAGTTGCCCTTCATTGTCCATGTTTCCTTGCATAAAGATCTGCCATTCGCACTGTCAGCTTCTGTTGGAAAATTGAGAGTGGGAACGTCGTATAAAATGATAGGAAAGCTTTCATCCACCCATTTACTGACCTTGTTTGTGCCGAACAACGCTCCAAATGTGTATGGTGGTAAACCCTGAGATCCCATAGAGAATGCGTGGGAGACTTGGAATAACGGCGCCATGCTGAAAGGTTTGGTGAGATCCGCCCTCAGGCCAGAGAATGTGTAGTTATTGAGGAATACATCGCGTTGCACCTCTCTGGCAATGTTCTCAACTGTTCCCGGGTTTGCGAGACCCAGCGCTTCCCTCTTCTCTTGGAAAGTGTTATATGTATTTGACAGAGCCCCTGCTACAGCATTATTGTATAGGAAGCCCAAAGGCGATTCCTTCTCTAGCCCAATCGACGACATTTTTTTCTATAAAATGATAACAAGGAGAGGATGAAGTGGTATCAAGGTAGGCGAGAGAAAGAATGTCGGATTAAAAGGGATTGATGGTGGGTGATTGCGAGCCTTCAAAATGATGGGTCAAAAATACTTTCGAGGTTGATGCGACTGAACTTTTTCTTGAAAGAGCTTCTAATCATGATGAGGCAGAACTTCAGGCATCAACAATGACGGAGTACGGGAGCTGACATAATGAAGTCATGTGGTTGGTACCCCTCCTTGGGCTTGGTTCGGATCACGTTCTAGCAAGTCAAGTTTTAAGAGAACAACTTCACTTCCTCTCGTCTTATTCACATAAAGTAGGGAATTAGAGTAGATTTAAGGCTCGTACGCTCTGTGAAGTGAATTGGTCTTAAATGAACTATTCACCGGTATCAAACGCTAACTACTGTAGGTGAGGGGTGTATAAGTTTTGAAGGAGACATAAATAAACGATTAACCGAGGGGTTATAATTTGGGAAATACTTAATTGAAGGCGAGAACTGTAAACACCCAAACATTCATCAACTCCATTAAATTGAAACTCAATCCACGACAATCAATTGGATCCTAATTTCAACCTCTGCACCTCTAACATCTACTCACATACCAGTACTCCTATTCCTCTCACCCTCTTTCTCAAACCCTTCTTTCTCACGTCTCATACAATCCTGTATACCTCATCTGACCTCAATTTAACGAGACTTCCTTCGCACATTTGACCCCCTCCACATCCGAATCCATTTTCCAATCGCAGACTTTGATCTTTATAACCGACCCTCCCCCTATCTATTTTCCCCCTTTCCCGAATACTCACAACTCACATCCTACATCTGCTTCATCTAGACTCCAACATACCATTCCAATTCCCTAACAACTCATCTCATCTCATCTCATCCTATCCCACCACCATCACCATCACCATCACCATCACCATCATCTCTACATAGCCTTAATCTAAAAACAATCCCGCATCACATACTACTACAAGTTCCAATTCCAATTCCACACATAATCAAACTCATGCCACAGTCCACAAAAACACAAAATACAACAAACATCTCTCATACGAGTACAGTATACCCATATTCAAAATACTACCCCCAAATCCCCAGCCGTAAATATCAAAATACTATACTATAGTTCGAATACCTACAAATACCCAGTCCCAAAGCTCTTCCTTCTTTCTTTAGTCTGCATATGATCGTGCTCAAATAATGGCAGAGCTTCTAGACTCTAGATGCACATAACCATTAAACCATTCACTCAGTATTGATTTGGGAATAACGTATCCCCACCCATATCCCCTTTCGTATCCTCAAATACATGATTTAACCCCCCTAATCATATGCATCTAGCCCAAGTTATCTATCGATCGAAATTCCAAATTCGTGGATGGAAGGAACAACTTATATAACGAATATCCATACATACATCCATTATCACAGACTTCTTAACTGAGTAAAGAGAGAGACGAAGAGAGGAGAAAAATACATTATAAACTTGGCTAAACCAAAATACAACATATGATCCGAGTCCCTCTACTCTAAATATCTCGAATGACTTCACCGAAAGACATAGATAGATGCCTTTCCGATGAAATTTACAGTACAACATTACAAGATTCCAATAGGCGACATAAAAGGAAGAGGAAGAGAAGTAAACCTCACTGTGACCAATAACTCGCTCTCCTTCCACCCATTCAACTTTGATCCACACTCCTTTCTCGCTCCAAATTCACAACTCGAATCATAGAAAAAACCAACTCAAGACCGATAAACAACGACGACTATCTATTGTATAATTTGTATCTTCGCTCCTCCCTAGATATCCATCTACATACTCAATTTGATCACACCTTTCTACTCCTTACCTATCCAAGCTTTCATCTACCATCTCCCATCTCCCATCTCCCATCCAATTCAATCTAATCCCATCACAACCAACACAGTACCCCCTTTATCCTGTCATCCCTTCATACCCTTTCCCCTCCTATTCACCTTCTTCATATCCTCGTCTCTCCACCCTACAATATCTATCTAATTCACTTCCCCATTACGTATACTGTTTGTATACAGTACAGCAGCAACACAATATCCCCCTTCACCATAATATAACCCATCCAGTCCATTCACTCATTTACTCACTCATTCACCTATTTAGTCGTATACCCACCAACCTAGGTACTCCAACAATTCTCCACTCCACTTAAATAACCACTCAAACAACCACTCATCCATACAATCAAACACCAGAATCCTCATCTCCTTCCTCATCCTCATCCAATCCCACACAAACCCCCTCCTTTCCATCCTTAACCTCAACAAGACATCCAACCTTACAACCCTACAACTCTACAACCCTAACTTAACCCTGCCTTAACCCTAACATCTCATCTCATCACACCCCTACCTACTACTTCCGAATCAACATATACCAAATACATATATTCACATACCGGTACAGTATTTTCATTCATCCAACAACGTGACCTTCATTATACATCACATCTCATCTCATCCCATCCCATCCCATCCCATCCCAT